AAAGGAGGAAGGTAAAAGGCCTAACTATATTAACTATTTAATATGCAGCGCTAAGGCTGCTGCCTATTGGGCATCCTAATAGGTTAAAGCTACCTAGTCCTAAACAATCCTCCATATAAACAACACTTATTATTCCCATAATTATATAGCATTTTTATTAATCTTTATTATAATTACTACCCTTAAACTTTTTTTTTAATATATATATATTATTACGGTTTAAGCTTTACTCATTATAATTAATTAATAAGCTTTGGCCTTATAAAAATAAGCTTTAACGTAGGTATAAATAAAAAGTAAACCTTTTCCTTTGCACTTTAAATAAAAACTTTATTTAAATACCTTATAATAAATAACCCAAGGCTAGCTTATAATATATATTTAAAATCCTCTTATATTATAAACCTATAATATAATTATATAAAACTTAATATAGCAAAACTTAAAAAGAATAATAATAGCCCGTTAAGCCCTTCCTTATTTAAAGAAACTCTTATCTTAAAAATACTTAATAACTTAATTAATAAAGATAAGGGTTAAGTTTGCAATAAATAAAAAGGTAATTAATATTAAAAGGGCTTAATTTTTTTATATATTTAATTAGCTAAAAACTTTTTATAATTAATATTTACCTTATATTAATTTTATAAAGATATTTAAAGGGTAGCTAAAAAACTTCTTAAAGAAGGTTTACCTTATACTTAAAAACCCTTTTAAGTAAAGATATATTAAGCTTAACTTAATTATATTATAATAATATTATAAGAAAGAAATAATAAAATTTCTTATTTAATTTAATTAATTAACTTATATAATAAAGGCTTAAAGTTAGCTAAATAAATATAAAATATTATTAATAGCTAATAACTTAACTTTTATAATAAAAGCTTAGCTTAATTATAAGAAATAGCTAAATATATTTAAGGCTTTTTACTTTACCTTATAATAATATAAAGATATCTTTAGCGCTATAATAAGAAAGGATAATACTTAACCTTAAAATAGCAAAATAATAAATATTAATATTATAATAATTTTAATAAGTAAAGTTAAGTATTTTATATATAATTAATTTAGCTATTATAAATATAACTACTTTAATTATTATAAAAGAATAAGGATATAGCTTTTATTAATTAAAATTAATAAGGAAAAGGAATTTATTTAAAAAGGTATAAAATCTTTTTTATAAAGTAAGGCTTAAAAGTAATGTTAATTTAGTATTAACTTAAGCTTAAAGTAAACTAACTATATATTAATTAATTTAATATTATAAAAATGCTTAAAATTTAAGAAATTTTTATTAATAAAGCAAATTACTTATAATTAAGCATTAATTAATTATAAATTATATAATAAATTTATAATTTTAAGGTTTTAAATAAAAAAGCTTATATAAAAAGCTTATATTAAAGGATTATAAAAATGCTATTAATTTAACTGCTAGCTTATGCTTAAATAATTATTTTTTATTAACTTACTTTAGCTAATATATTAAATTATAAGAGTTAAAATATATTAATTATAAATAATAAGCTAAGCTTTTAATATAATTAAGAGGCGCTAAGGTATAATTAAATAGCTAAGTAAAGAATAATATTTAATTTATAATTAAATTATAATATCCTTTATTTTTATTATATAGCTACCTTTTAAGGCTTGCTATAAAAACTTAGAAAAGGAGGATATATTATAGTTTAAGCTTTATTTATTATAATTAATTAATGGGCTTTAGCCTTATAAAAATAAGCTTTAATATAAATATAAATAAAAAGTAAACCTTTTTCTTTATACTTTAAATAAAAACCTTATTTAAATACCTTATGGTAAACAACCCAAGGCTAGCCCATAATATATATAGCGAAAATATCCCTTAATTGCCTTTTATTATGGTTTAGGCTTTGCTTATTGTAATTAGTTAATGGGCTTTGGCTTTATAAGAATAAGCTTTGGCATAAATATAAATAAGGAATAAACTTTCTCCTTTATACTTTAAATATAAACCTTATTTAAATACCTTATAATAAATAACTTAAAGTTAGCTTATAATATATATTTAAAGTCTTTTTGCATTATAAACTTATAATATAATTATATAAAACCTAATATAATAAAACTTAAAAAGAATAATAATAGCTTATTAAGCCCTTTTTTATTTAAAGGAACTTTTATTTTAAAAATACTTAATAACTTAATTAATAAAAATAAGGGCTAAGTTTATAATAAATAAGAAAGTAATTAATGCTAAAAAGGCTTAATTCTTTTATATATTTAATTAATTAAGAACTTTTTATAATTAATTTTTACTTTATATTAATTTTATAAAAATATTTAAGAAATAGCTAAAAAGCTTTTTAAAAAAGGTTTGCCTTATATTTAAGAACTTTTTTAAGCAAAGATATATTAAGCTTAGCTTAATTATGCTATAATAGCATTATAAAAAGAGGATAATAAAATTTCTTGCTTAATTTAATTAATTAGCTTATATAATAAAGACTTAAAGTTAGCTAAATAAATATAAAATATTATTAATAATTAATAGCTTAACTTTTATAATAAAAACTTAGCTTAATTATAAAAAATAGTTAAATATATTTAAAATCTTTTACTTTGCCTTATAATAATATAAGGGTATTTTTAATATTATAGCAAGAAAGAATAATATTTAACCTTAAAATAATAAAGTAATAAATATTAATATTATAATAATTTTAATAAATAAAGTTAAGTATTTTATATATAATTAACTTAATTATTATAAGTATAATTACCTTAATTATTATAAAAAAATAAAAATATAGCTTTTATTAATTAAGGCTAATAAGGAAAAGAAGTTTATTTAAAAAGGTATAAAATTTTTTTTATAAAGTAAGGCTTAAAAGTAATATTAACTTAATATTAACTTAAATTTAAAGTAAATTAGCTATATGCTAGCTAATTTAACCTTATAAAAACACTTAAAATTTAAAAAATTTCCATTAATAAAATAAATTACTTATAATTAAGCATTAATTAATTATAAATTATATAATAAATTTATAATTTTAAGATTTTAAGTAAAAAAGCTTATATAAAAGGTTTATATTAAAGAATTATAAAAATGCTATTAATTTAACTGCTAACTTATACTTAAATAATTATTTTTTATTAGCTTACTTTAATTAATATATTAAATTATAAAGGTTAAGATATATTAATTATAAATAATAAATTAAGCCTTTAATGCAATTAAAAGGCGCTAAAGTATAATTAAATAATTAAATAAAGAATAATATTTAATTTATAATTAAATTATAATATTCTTTATTTTTTATTATATAGCTACCTTTTAAAGCTTATTATAAGGATTTAAAGAAAAAGGATATATTATAATTTGGGCTTTATTTATTATAATTAATTAATAGGCTTTAGCCTTATAAAAATAGGCTTTAATATAAGTATAAATAGAAAATAAACCTTTTCTTTTATACTTTAAATATAAACCCTATTTAAATACTTTACGGCAAACAACTTAAGGCTAGCCCATAATACCTTTATATATTAATTAACTTTTTTAATGCTTAAATATAAAAACTTTATAAATTTATTATTATTATTATAATTATTTATTTTATATTAATATTAATAATAAATATATTTCTTTAAATCCTTAAAATATGCTTTAATTAAATTAAAATTAAGGAAATATAGCGGTAAATATATTAATTTAACGCCCTTTACTTAAATAACTTTATAAATAGCTTAATTATAATGTTATAAAGTATTATTTATTATAAGGATTAATTAAGGGCTTAAATAAATATTTATTTAAGAAAGAATCTTTTTAAAAAGCTATATTAAGAAAAACTTCTTTATTATATACTTTTTATATACCTTAATATTAAAAAAACCGCTAATTATAATTATTAATAATATATAAAAGCAATTACTTTGCTTAAAAAAACTTTTAACTTAAGGAATATATCTTAATAATGCTTAGCCCGTTCTTTTTACGCTATTATATTTATTAAATCTTAATTTATTGCAAAAGATAAATATTTTAACAATATATTATAGCTTTAAAATCTTAAAAAGGTAATAGCTTTAAAGATCCTTATTATGCTGCTAAGTTAATATATATATTTATTTATTAATTTAATTATATTTCTTAAGGGCCCTTAAGATAATCTTTATTAAGTAATTAATTTAATACTTCTTAATAAAAAAGTATTGCATTTAATTAATATATATATTTAACTTATTAAGGAAAAGATTTTTAAGCTTTTATATAATAATAATTAAGTATTAATAATATTTAAAAAGCTTATTATATTAAAAAACATTATATACCTTTAAAGCTTATTGCTTTAATTTAATAGCATTTAATAATAATAATAAAAGTACGCTTAGCATTATAATGTTTATTATTTTAACCCTCCTTTAATACTGCTAAATTATTAATTTATTGCAATTAAACTTAGCTTGCAGCTACTTATTTAATAATAATAAGTTTAAGCGTAAATAAAACTGCAATATTTATAATTATATAAAGGTTAGCTGCATTATTACGGCCTTTTTTTTGCTAAATTAAGTGCGTAGTAATAGCGAGGAGGTTATTCTTAATAATCTTGGTATGTATTCCATATTTACAGCAAACTTTTAGTGCGAGGGGGGACAGCTAACCAAAGAGACAGGGGGGGGGCTGCGTTTCGTTTGGGACAGACAGCAGGGTTTCTAACCCTGGTCCTTCGCGAAGGCGGGTTGGACGTCACTGCCCAGCCTGGTGCTGCCCCAGGCAAGCAGGACCCCTTTGCTGAAAAAGTCAAGCCAACACACGCGACCGCGGCGAGCCAAGTATCTGGAGCTGCTCTCAGGGAAGCCACCCTTTTGCGACCCAAAAAAAAAAACAAAAAAACCCCTTGCGTACGAGCCTTTTTCTCACAAAGTAATACCGTGCTCCTTCCACCCGATTGAACCCAGGAACGAACCCAAAGCAGAGGTAAAACCCGCCTGTCGCCAAGATGGTGAGGCTCACGGCGGACCTGATCCAAAGCTCCCTCTCGTACCTCAACCCGCTCAACGAGAGGGAGCTTGACCTCCGAGGTGCGTTTAGAAAGGAACAGATGCTACACACATGATCTTTGCTTGAGAGCTAGAGTTGATATCAAATGTTTTGTCTTGTTGGCAAATAGGTCACAGGATACCGACCATTGAGAACCTTGGTGTCGCGGGCGTACGTAACGAACCTCCCCCCCCCTCCAAGTATCCTTCCTCGCTTCGGACTTCCTCCACGCGCGCCTGGATCGCTAACTCATGAGACCTGTACAGCCACAAGACGCGATCGACTTCACCGACAATGACATCCAAATCCTCGGCAACTTCCCGCTGTCCCCGCGGATACAGACGCTCCTGCTGGCGCGCAACCGCATCTCCACGATCCAGCCCAACCTGCCGAACGCGATTCCCAACCTGAAGAACCTGGTGCTGGCCTCGAATCAGATGGTCGAGCTGTCGGATCTGGATGTGCTGGGCAAGTTTGCACGCCTGACGCAACTGGTGTTGGCCGACAACCCTGTCACGAAGAAGGAGGTAGGTTCCCCAACATAGGCCAAGTTTCGAAGTGAGTGCGGAACGCTGACTGTGTCTGCAGCACTACCGGTATTGGGTGGTTTGGCGATGTCCCACGGTGCGGTTCCTCGACTACCAGAAGGTCAAGCAGGCAGAGCGGGAGAAGGCTACTGAGCTGTTTGGCACGGCAGAGGAGCCCACAGAGCTGGCTTCAAAGGTAGGGACACCGTCTGATGGATCCCTTTTTACAATACGTGTGCTAAGCGAGGGTGCCCAACAGATCAAGGGCATCAAGTCTCAGACATTCAATGTCTCTACGAGCAACGGCGAGGCTACGGCCGCATCGAAGATGAAGCGCCTGAAGCTCACGGATAAGGAGAAGCAGAGGCTACAGGAGAGGATCAAGAAGGCCAGCAGCTTGGAGGAGATCATACGGTTGGAGAAGGAGCTGGAGGAGGGTCGGTTGCCCGCTGGCATCTTGGCCGACGATGCCATGGAGGAGTAGCCCAGGGTACACCTTCGTTTGGGTAAAGGATATGTCAAGCAGGTGGCGAGACCAGGCCGAGGACAGTCGGCATTGGCGCCCGAGGCAGGCAGTGTCGGCGCAGTGGGCTCCAGAGTCTGGGAAATCCTCCACCAGCCTGTCGAGCTCTTTGATAGGGCGGCCGTGTCGCCTTTTATTATGCATGGACAAAAGCTATCAGACAGGCCAGAGAGGGCTTGTATTTGGATGGGTTACATACTATGCTGAAAAGGCAAATAGCACCGGAATTAATGTACGGATACCACCAATCCAGCAACTTCCTGACCGGTACACTTAAGCGGCTTTTCAACATGTTATTAGCCAGCTGGCGGCATCTTGTCGGGCAGCCTGAGACTTTGCGACATCCTCGCCAATATTTATCCAACTTCCTGACATGGGCATCCCTCGGCAAGCCCTCGAAGTCAAGTAGCCATCTTGGCGAGTCTGCCGTGCTGTTCTCCCATCGCGTCGGATGCCAGCACGGAGGCCTGGCCGGAGAGATCCTCACCAGTTGACACCGAGCCTCATGGGCAGGGCATCTGGGCAGAGTGGCAGCAGCTCAGACCAACGGGTCGTCTTCCCATTTCAGACATTTCGGCATCTACCCGGTCATGTGCACATCGCCGTCGCCCGGATTCGTCGGCGCCTGCTCCTCGTCCTCTGGCCTCTTGACGACGTCGTGGACGCCGAAGCCGTTGATGCTCTTCTGCTTCTTGCCGTTGGGCTGGCCCGCCTCGTCGGCGCGGTCGCCGGCCGGCTTGCCGCCCTGGAGCTTGGCGCGCGTCTCGGCGGCCTTGTGCTTGATCTCCTTGTAGGGCTGCGTCTTGGGGATGGTATCGTCGAGGAACTCTAGGTTGTCCTTAGCGATGACCGCGGCGGCTGGGGTCCGGTTAGCAAGAGGACCAGGTGGGGGCTTCGTGCGAGTGAGTGAGTGGGTGAGTCTTCTCTTACACAGGTCCTTGTACTGTACGTTCCTCCGTGGCTTCCTGTCGAGCTTGGCCATGTTATGACCCTGCTCTGCGAGGTACTGGATGAACATTTCCTGTACACCACTGTCAGTGCCTACTATTGAAGGAGAAAGACGAAAACGGGGTCAAGTCAGTCAGGCGGCCTTACAGTAGCCAACGTTATAGCGAATGCCGCATTATTTGAGCAGACGTTGATGTCTGGGTCCACTGCGATGATCTTCTTGACTCTTGATACTGTGTGATGTGTCAGTACTACGTTTCGTCAGGGATAGAGAGGCACAGAGAATGAGAACACTCACATGGGAGCTGGACTGTGCCTGTCACCTCCTTGCGAGGCCTGATGGGAGTCGTGTTGTAAGGCATCTTGACGTCTCAATTTTAGGTCTCCCGCAGAATGAACGAAGTTATGCTTGTCGAATATTGTACGAATTTGAAAATGCGGAGCTTGGGCGTGAGTATGCGAGGCTTTGCGAGTGTTATGCTTATGGGCTTCACGGACTGCTAGACTACTTCTGAGGGTGAAGGGCTGAATGAGTAGATACAGTACGAGATCCAGTCTGACCCCGGCGTGGTTAATTGAGACGCGGTTCTTGTCATTGGGAGCAACGCGACTGCACCTGGGTCCAGGGCTAGCGGGTCGCTCTGGGTAGGTAAGGCGGGCAGGGACTAGGGTCCCAGACCCCAGCAGCATCAGCGCTGAATATGTCGTTGAAAACCTAGGTAGGGGACCTGCCCGCCTGCCTGCCGCGGCTGTCCCACTGTCTCGGACGGGCGTGCAATACGTAGGCAGGCGTCAATGGGCCTCATCCTCAACCTCGACGATTGCATTGCGACTATGCGATCATGGATTTACGGAGCCGGCCCTCGGTGACCTCGCGCCTCTCCTTTGCCGTTAGCAATGCTGAGCGTGGCGAGTCTGTAGACCTGCCCGCTGTTGCAGCCGACCAGCAGATCGAAGAGGAAATCGCCGAGATCAAGAGATACGAGGTACCGTCCCTCCCTCCCCCCTTGGCTGGCCCCAGTCTCGTGCTGAACCTCGCTAATGATGCGCCCAGGACTTCACAACCATTGGTACGCACCCATAGGCCCAGCCGCCGCTCCCACGTCCCGCATACTCACGCCGCTACACAGATTGGGTCCAGGATGCTGCTCAGGAACGACAGCGCCGGAAAGCGCGCAGGAAGCGCACCGCCGGCCTCTACGACAGCGGCCAGGTCGACTGGAGACACAGGCTCTTTGTCCTGTACGAGGCCGCGCAGGGCTGGATCGTCATCACCATCATCGGAGCTGCCATCGGCCTCAACGCAGCCTTCCTGAACATCATCACGGAATGGCTGGCTGACATCAAGATGGGATACTGCACCACTGCATTCTATCTCAACGAGAACTTCTGCTGCTGGGGCGAGGACAACGGCTGCCCCGAGTGGCATCGTTGGACCGGATTCGAGCCTGTCAACTACCTCGTCTACATAATCTTCGGGGTATGTGTAGCCCAGAGCATCTGCCATTCTTCCTCTGCTGACAGCAGCAGACCATGTTTGCCTTTGTCTCCGCCACTCTTGTCAAGTGCTATGCACCTTATGCGGCTGGGTCGGGCATCTCCGAAATCAAGTGCATTATCGCTGGGTTCGTCATGAAGGGCTTCCTGGGGTTTTGGACGCTTCTGATCAAGTCCATCTGTCTCCCCTTGGCCATTGCCTCAGGCCTGTCCGTTGGCAAGGAGGGGCCCAGTGTCCACTATGCCGTCTGCACCGGCAACGTCATCTCGCGTCTGTTCGACAAGTATAGGCGCAGTCGCTCCAAGACCCGCGAGGTCCTCAGCGCGTGCGCGGCTGCAGGCGTGGCCGTGGCCTTCGGAAGCCCCATTGGCGGTGTTCTGTTCTCCCTGGAAGAGATGAGCAGCTACTTCCCACTCAAGACCATGTGGCGGAGCTATTTCTGTGCGCTTGTCGCGACAGTCGTGTTGGCCTTCATGAACCCCTTCAGGACGGGCCAGCTTGTCATGTTTCAGGTCACCTATGATCGGTCGTGGCACTTCTTCGAAACACCATTTTACATCCTCATAGGTGCCATGGGTGGTCTCTACGGTGCCTTTGTCATTAAGTGGAATCTACGTTACCAGGCGTTTCGTAAGAAGTATCTGGCAAAATACCCTGTTCTCGAGGCAACTCTCCTGGCGACGGCGACTGCCATCGTCTGTTACTACAATGTCTTCCTGAGAATCGACATGACAGAAAGCATGGAGATTCTCTTCCTTGAATGCGAAGGGACGGAGGACTATCATGGGCTCTGTGATGCTCCCAACCGCCTCTGGAACATCGCCTCTTTATTTTCGGCGACGATAATCCGGATCTTCTTTGTGATCATCTCGTACGGTTGCAAGGTACCCGCGGGTATTTTCGTACCGTCGATGGCCATCGGGGCTTCGTTTGGCCGTGCAGTTGGCATTATCGTGCAAGCCATCCACGACGCAAACCCTAACAGCGTTTTCTTTTCGGCCTGCGAACCTGACGTCCCGTGCATCACGCCAGGTACCTACGCTTTCCTCGGTGCAGCGGCAGCACTAAGTGGCATCATGCATATCACGGTGTCGGTCGTGGTCATCATGTTCGAGCTCACCGGCGCACTTGTCTACATCTTACCTACGATGATTGTCGTTGGCGTCACAAAGGCTGTCAGCGACCTCATCGGAGGCGGAGGAATCGCAGATCGTATGATATGGTTTAGCGGGATGCCATTCCTGGACGGCAAGGAAGAGCACAACTTTGGAGTGCCTGTCTCGCACGCCATGACGACGGATGTGGTCTCGATACCAATGTCCGGGTTGACACTCCAGCAGGTTAAGCAATTGCTCGCCAACGGAAAGTACCAAGGCTTCCCCGTCATCGAAAACGAGCACAACAAAATTATTGTGGGATACATCGGTCGCACCGAGCTGCAATATGCCATCGACCGGCTCAAGAAAGATCGTTCTTTGAACCCACAGGCGAAGTGCAACTTTGCGTCCTCTAACACTGTGGCGCCCACAACACCAACCGCAACACCATCTATCACAGTTCTCGCTGATCCAATGTCCTCAACTTCCATCGACTTCACCCGTTTCGTGGACTTGACCCCCGTGACAGTTCATCCTCGCCTGCCACTGGAGACGGTTATGGAGCTATTCCGCAAGATCGGACCGCGAGTCATCCTGGCTGAGCACCACGGTCAACTGAAAGGCCTGTTGACGGTCAAAGACTGTCTCAAATACCAGTTCAAGGCGGAGGCTTCCGAGAACCCCCGCGATGACCAACACCTCTTGCAGTCGCAGGAGAAGCTGTGGGGCGTGTTCCAGCAGGTGGCGGGCTGGGTATCGACCAAGGTGAACAGTGCCTCTGGAGGGCGGATACGGTTGAGCAGCAGTGCTGACGAAGGGGATGGCTTCATCATGGATGGGACTGAGCAGCTCGAGGATGAAGGGGTTGAGTTAGAGAGTAGAGGGTACGATGATAGGCGTTAGGTATTGGATATTTGCTAGATCAATTACAATCCTTTAGAATTCTCAAGTTACCGCCGGCACTTATTGCCGCTTGATGCCTCATGCCCTGTCTCCAGATACACGAGCACTCTTCTAGGGAGCTGAAAACTGGCGCACGCTGCGTTAAAACACATTTTCGCGTCAAGTTTAGCTCCATGCTGATATTAGCTTTGGAGGACTCGAGCCGCCAAGTGTCTATGATGCTTCGGATTTGGGCGCTGAGTGAGCTCCAATATCTAGTCATTCCTCCTCTACGTCCTTGGGATTCATTCGTCCTACGCGAGTCATGTTTGGCACAACACATACTTGGGGCCTATTTCAAGGCTGATGTTGGGTAAAGTACCTTCCAACAATGTATCATCAAGAAATCTCGGTTCTACAGAAGTAGAGAGGCAAGACATCTTTCCTTTGGTAACTATTCTACCACACTTAGGAGCTTTCCTTCGTTAGGGATTCACGTACAAGGGCTTCACGATATCCCAACCATCAAGCTTGTTGGTCTTCACAGTCTTGAAATCGAAGTCATCTAGAACCCTCAGCGTGATAGTCCGTATGATCAAGGATCTGTCGCGCCACGCCTTCGCAGCGTCATTCAGAGCTTCTATTTCCGCATCTAGTGGACGGTCTCGGGTCAATGAAAGGCCCACACAGGAAACATTGAGGGGATGAAAGCGAGGAAGGACGTGCGGCCGTGTTGACTACTCACCTGTAAGTGGCTTCGGCTCGTTGCAGACGTGCGTCCCGCAGTGTTTGCAGAAGGCCTTGCGGACGACGTTCTTGTTGAACGAGCGATAGGCGAGGTGCTCTCTGCCCTCGATGACCGTGTCCTCTATATGCGGATAGATCCAGACGTACGCACCCTGTGTAGGTGTCAGCCACGCACATTGGCAAGCGAGAGAAGGCGAGCTCACCCTCATGCAGATGCTGCAGTTGCACTCGACGATTCTCTCTTCATCCACCGTGATATCCCGGGCCTCCAAGGGCTTGTCGACTTTGACAGCCAGCGTCACGGCACCGCAGTGGCATGAGCCATGATCTGGTATTGAGTTAGTTCTCGGTACTAACACGCAGAGGCACAGGTTTAATGTTGCGCGCACATATTTTGCCGCCTTCGTCGACAGCAGGCTCGGGGCCCTTGTAAGCGACGGGCTCGTAGGCAGGCCCAATCGCCTTGCCGTCAAACCTTCAAGCCGGTCAGTCAACAACAACCATAGTCAGCAGACATTCAGGCACAACCTACGGCTTGGCTTCCAAGGACCAAAAGTCAACATTCTGGAGGGCTCGTGCCTGCAGACGTGTAAGTTCAGTCGGCCCCGCACATCCTTACTGATTTCGGCTTGTTTGCTCACGTTGATGATCGTCTTCGTCTTGGTTTGCGCCAGGACGGCAGTGCCGCAGTTGGGGCAGAAGCGGTGGACGAAACCGCCCGTGTTGAAGGCGTACGATGTCAGCTCGTCGATGCTGCCCTTGACGACATCGACCTGGCCCCCTTCCGGGACCAGGTACGCGTAGCCCTTCTTGCGGCAGATGCTGCAGTTGCACTCGGTGTACGACGTGATCTCGGGCAGCCTGGCCTCGTAGATGAAGGCCCCGCAGTGGCAGTTGCCTCTATACGTCTTCAGGTTACCTTCAGAGGACATTGTGGTTGTTGAATCTGGCGAGGAGGTGAGAGCAGCTGTGTCTAAGGAAAAAAAGCTGTGGAATGTCACTGCACAATCGCAAACGAATTACAGGAGCGACGACACGGTTAAAGGCGCGCCGCCCTCTTTAAGAGGGCGAACAGCTGACACGCATGTGTTACGAGATAAGCAGCTGGTTCGCTAGTCTGTCGTCCCCGCCGTCTGTGGCGCACACGGCAGACATAAGCAGATCGGTACCGTCCACTGTCGCGGGCAGCCGAGACGCGCCCCGGTGTTTGGCACTGGTGTATCACAAACTCGGTACAACAAGGCACCTGCCAGGATCCAAGACCCTGGGATGTGCTGAGCAATTGTTACTAACTGGAATGTGGCCGTAAGGCGGATACGGGCAACCAATTCACCGAGTCCCTGGGTGCCTGATGTGAAAATGAGACGGATAGTTGTAGCATAGGCTACTGCGCGCTGTCAGGTGATTCAGCCCCCCCCTCAGTCCTTGCAGATGCATTAGGCCTGTCGTGGTGGACGTGACAAACCACTCCCGCTCCTGTCTGCCTGTATTTTGGGCAAGTGGGCAAGCAAGTTGTGTATCAGCCGTGGTGTTGGAAGGCCCGAGAACACGTGCTGGTGCAACCTGTGACAAACAAACTGATGGCGCGAAGGAAGCAAGTTAATATCTGTGACCAGTATAGTCGGCGAGATGCATGTGGACTGGAGGGCACCGGCGCCGGAGACGGAGGTGGCAGACTGGTGGGGCCGGGATTTGTGGATCAGGACCTCCGATCACCAGCAGGAGTCTTGTGCCCGCTGTATATTAGATGGCATATATCTCCCGACTGCCTTCCATTCCTTGTCATCTGTGTGCTGCAACCACTTGAGGGGTCGTGGCCTGCGTCTGCATCGGCCGTCCCAGCAAGCGCCCCGTCGGCATGCATGCCGTTCGGGTGTACTTGCCAACCAGCTCTCAACGTGGCCCACGGGGTTAGCTCGTGGACAGATCGATTCCCGTCGATGACCTCGCTCACTCGAGGTTGCGCCACGGCCGGACGGAGCACCTCAGCTGGTACATGACGATCTCGATTCGCGCCTTGAGACAGAGAGTCTTGTTGAAGGGAACAGCATCGTGGAGTATGGTACTTTGGTTCGCCCCCGCAATGAGATGCATCTGTCCCTTCATTGTGCCTGCACCAGCAGATGGCTTCTGCAGCCACCCAAGTCATGAGGTAGCATCGCAAGACACACCACTTTGGATGCCAGGGGCGGCATAGATCTATATTGGTCTTTCGCCCTTGAAACCGCCAGGAACTAGACTAAGTCTGCTGGAGATCTTTGGCTGCTGTGGATTTTAGTCTGAGAAGATCACCACCACCTGTCGGGCCTTTCTGTCATCCAGGATTCATCGGACACGGCATGTTGACCAACTGGTCCCGGAGTGTCGGAAGCCTCTCTGAGTCTATGTAGTTTACTGTGTAAGCAGATCAGGAAGTAGACCCACAACGAGATGGTTGCAAGCATGTTGACATGGCGGCGGAGCCTGTTTGTGTACCTGCTGCGCTGTGATGGAGACTACCGCGACGAACGGGAGGCTCGGGATGCGGAGTACACACTTGTTCCACTCTTTGGGAGGTACATGCGATATTTGGTGAGACGATCCCTCAGGGCTCATCGTATCTGCCCATGAACATTGCTTCGTTGTCTTGTTCTCGAACCGTGGTCAACCGAGCAATATGCCGCATGTGGGCATTGCAACTCCGGTGCATACGTCGTGCTCGTCCATGTGACGGCCGGAACAGCAGGCGGCTCCGTAGGCCCGCCCGAGATGGTCAAGCTCACGGGTAGTGAGGGGTAGAGTTGCCGGCGCAGGGCAGCCCAACCAAGCACGAGGACGTCACGATGCTGGCGCAGGTAGAGCTGGAATTAGAAAGTCAGAAACGTGCAGCACTGCGCGGCATAGCAGCATAATTGGCCGTGGTAGCACAGCAGAGGCTGATACAAATTGGCCCGAGTGACACAAGGATGAACCCCTGCGGTTCGTGGCATCTTCGAGCTCAATGACACGGGATGCCCACTTTAGATGAGGAGAAGAGGGCGCACGATGATGATGCATCCATGATGATGATGTCGGCAATGGCTGGAGAAGACTGGAGAAGAGACAGAGAAGGAAAGAGGGAGTGGGCAGGCGCACACAGAGAGAGAGAGAGAGAGAGCAGAGGGGCTCCGTGTACACGGTACAAGGGAAAGACCAGGTGCAGAGGCAGGCACAGAAGCGAGAGCTGACGTTCCTGAGCGGCGAGCTTGGGCCACCAGGCAGGGGCCTGGGTACGCTAGTCCTGCAAAGGGCGTGGGGAGGCGAGCTGACTGGCTGGGCCGACCTCACCTCCCACGCCGGGCCTCCAAGCTTGTGAGCCTTAGTGACCTTGAACCCCATCGTTGCCTGCATCCCATTACAAAACAGTATTTGGCCACTCTGCTGTGTCCGGGGACCAGCCCAAGACCGAGCACAGGAACAGGTGGGCTCTCAGAGCTCTCTGGTCTCGCAACGACCTACCTACAGCGCGGACTAGCACCTACATCCCTGCCGCGCGGTGCTGGGTGCCAGAGCCATGTACCGCTCAGGTCGCTCTACCCCTCAGCCTCCCTCGACTGCCATGTCCCACTCGCTCGGCCACCGTGGAGGCAACCGCCCGACGGCCAACTCTCTCTGGAGGGACCCAACTTCACGATGCGCTGCCTGGGCTGGGATTCCATGACATGGAGATGCCATGACACGGATGAACAGAGCTGCCGTCTATGGCGGAGCCAGGGGGAAGCTCGAGGCCAAAGACCTCGGGCCGCCTTGGTCCTCCAAGTACACCCACTCCACTACGGAGCGTCGCCATATAGTCGGCCGTTTAGCTCTTACACAGGCCAGACAGCATACCTCATCGGTACCCCTTTGCCTCCCCAAATTCGGATCGCTGCTCGGCAAGACGTCGTGTCACTGTCAAGTCCCTCAATTTATATAAAGGACTGCGCTCTACACCTGCCCCCTTTTGAGTCTCCCTCCTTCCGTGCTGTTGGTCTTAATATTCACGTTACCGTACAATCCACGCAATCATGACTGTGGCCACAGAGACTACCGTTGTTTCGAACGGAGTTGCTCCTGTCGACAAGGCCGGCAGGACGGAGACACCGCCTCCAGCCCCCTCGCCTAACTTGAATATCATTGATATTCGCTGTGCCGCCGTTGAGATCAACATCAAGGAAGAAATAAATTCCCTCTTCAAGGCTCAGGATGGTCCAAGGAGGCTTCCTACCCTCCTTCTATATGACGAGCGAGGTCTTCAGCTATTCGAGGCGGTACGGCTCCTCCCTCTACCGTTCGCCTCCGATCGCAACCTATGCTGAATACGTGCTAGATCACGTACCTAGACGAGTACTACCTCACGAATGATGAGATTCAAGTCCTCAGGGAATCGGCCTCCAAGGTTGCGGAGAGCATTCCCGACAAGTCCATGTTCATTGAGCTCGGGAGTGGGTATGTCTCGGAAAAGCCCGCCCCCATCTGGCATGGTCCCTGATGCTGATTTCGTAGTAACCTGCGTAAGGTGAACCTGCTGCTCGAGGCCTTCGAACGCGCCGGGAAGGAAATTGACTACTATGCTTTGGATTTGTCCCGGCAAGAGCTTGAGAGGACCCTTGCCCAGCTCCCCGTCTACAAGCATGTCAAGAGCCACGGGCTTTGGGGCACCTACGATGACGGGAGAGAATGGCTAAAGCGGCCAGCTAACATCCGCCGCCAGAAATGCGTCGTATCCCTTGGGTCAAGCATTGGTTAGTTATGTCTAGGTGCTGGTTTTGCCTCCCTGGACTGCAACGGCTGAGAATGGTGCAGGAAACTTTCTCCGCGACGAGGCGTCGGATTTCCTGAGGGGATTTGCAGATGTATTGAGTCCAGGTGACACAATGCTGGTTGGCCTGGACTCATGTATGGATCCGGCCAAGGTCTAGTAAGTCGAGGCTCACATGCACACTAAGAATACTGCACAGCGCTGACCTGCCTGTCTATAGTCACGCGTACAACGGTTAGTTCCGCAAGCATTGTTCTATTGGAGGCATACTGATTACCGAGGGACACGGTTAGATCGAGACGGTGTCACTCACGAGTAAGACGCACCACAACTCTTTCCTACACTGACATGTCGGCTAAGACACTCACAGCTTTATACTCAACGGGCTGGTCAACGCCAATCAAATCCTTGGCGAGGAAGCTTTCAATATGCAAGACTGGCGGGTTATTGGGGAGTATGTATATGATGATGAAGGAGGTCGACACCAAGCTTTCTACTCGCCAATAAGGGACGTGGTAGTCCTCGGGGAGACAATTAAAGCCAACGAGCGCATTCAGGTTGAACAGAGCCTGAAGTACTCCCAAGCTGCCGCTACAAGACTATGGAGCTTGGCTGGTATGACCACGGCGGATCGGTGGACCCTTGGTCAGGAATACGGTGAGTTCACAACTACCTCCGAATTATATCATTGTCCGACCCCCGGCCCACTCCTCGGGCGGCTGCTTTTTTTCCTCTAAAAGCAGCTGTGGTCAGAGAGGATGACGTTCCCCCACGCTTCTGGAACAATACGACCAGTCATGGCCCGTTTATTCTCACGGAATGACCCCCTAACTTGCTTCACGCATGTAATCCCCCGCCTATGCGTGTGTCTGCTGATGCTCACGGCTGCGGGGCTCGGCGGACTTGCGAGGCTTGGGTTTGAGGCTTGCTTATTTAGAGGCTCGGGACTACTGGCCCCCGAATTTTCTGACCCAACTGCCTGGATCTCATCTGATTGATTGTCTCTGCAGGTCTCCACATGCTAGTCAAGCCCAGGATGCCGTTCAGCCTAATTCCGTCCGCTTACGCCTCGTCCGCCCTGCCCACCCTGAGCGACTGGGAGGGCATCTGGACAGCATGGGATACCGTCACCAGGGACATGCTCCCCCATGAGGAGCTTCTGGATAGGCCGATTCGGCTCCGAAACGCGTGCATCTTTTATATTGGTCACATACCGACCTTCCTGGATATCCAACTCAACAAGACAACCAAGACTGCCCCCACCGAATCCAAAGGGTATGCTGCAATCTTTGAACGTGGCATTGATCCGGATGTCGATAATCCCGAGAGGTGTCACAGTCACTCAGAAACACCAACAGAGTGGCCCCCGGTCCAGGAGATTGTGACTTACCAGAACAATGTTCGCAAACGGCTGCGGAGCTTGTACGACGGCGGGGCCGAGAAGATCCCGCGTGATGTAGGGAGGGCCATCTGGTGCAGCTTTGAGCATGAGATCATGCACTTAGAGACGCTGTTATACATGCTTTTACAGAGCGAGAAAACGCTACCACCGCCCAATACTGCGCATCCGGATTTCAAGGAGCTGGCTGAGAAGGCAAAGGCTGCCAGAGTCCCGAACGACTGGTTTGACGTGCCAGCGAAGGAGATCAACATTGGCTTGGACGATCCGGAAGACGGAACCAACTCTCAATGTCACTATGGATGGTACTTGAACAATCAAGCCAACGGATGCTTTCGGGACCATACAGTAACTAACGTGTGGAGCAGGGACAATGAGAAACCAAAGAGGACAGTTAAAGTGCATGCCTTCCAGGCCCAAGGGAGGGCCATTACAAATGAAGAAGTAAGATACAGCTGCCGTCATATCATGGAGAAAATGCTGAATCTTTGACAGTATGCGCAATATATGCACGCAACAAACACGTCTCAGTTACCAGCATCCTGGGTAGAGGTCAACCCAGACGAGGTGCTCAACGGCGATGCCTTCGCGACCGGGTCCGCGGGCCCAGCTCAAACAAACGGGTATCCCCACACAAATGGTCACGCTCACGGCCATCCATCGCTGCCAAGCTCTTTCCTCTCAAGCAAAGCAGTGCGGACCGTCTATGGCCTCGTGCCACTGGAATATGCCCTTGACTGGCCTATTTCCGCCTCATACGACGAGCTATCCGGCTGCGCGTCATGGTTGGGCGGGCGGATTCCCACATTCGAGGAGGCACGCAGCATCTATGACCACGTCGACATCCTGAAGAGAAAGGAGGCCGAGAGGAAGCTCGGGAAGACGGTCCCTGCCGTGAACGGGTAAGAAACCCCTCCCTTCACCAGCTTGTGCCGGTGCCCCTCTCTCTAGCGCGGAGCATGGGCTAAATCGCTGTCCCGTAGTCACCTCAGCAACAACGGCGTCCAAGAGACTCCACCATCACGAGCTGCGGGAAGGCCAGGGGACGATGGAGACCAGAAAGATCTCTTCATCGACCTCGACGGCACTAACGTCGGCTTCCAACACTGGCACCCCGTGCCGGTAACAGCTGGCGGCAACCGTTTGGCCGGCCAAGGCGAGATGGGCGGCCTGTGGGAATGGACCAGCTCGCCACTCCGCAAGTGGCCCGAGTTCAAGCCGATGGCCCTGTATCCTCTCTACACTGGTGAGTGCACGAGATCACAGACCGGGCCTACGCCGGCGCCGAAGAATACTTGACTGACTGCGTGTGACCCGGCAGCCGACTTCTTTGATGAGAAGCATAATATCGTCCTGGGTGGATCATGGGCCACGCACCCGCGAATTGCCGGGAGAAAGTCATTGTGAGTGTCACTATTTAGCTGCTGCAGAATAACCCAATCTTTGGCGTGCTGACTTTTTGGCCCAGCGTTAACTGGTACCAACGCAACTACTTGTTCCCGTGGGTGGGAGCCAGGCTCGTGCGAGACGTTCAGTAAATAGCTGTCACCAGTTCCTGTCTTGGCCACCCGGAAGCCTGCTTCAACACGGGCACAGACTTATTCGCGGACTGTTTTGCCACTCAACTTGGCTCAACAAAATACGCCCTGTACGCATATCATTATTGCATGATGGAAATGATCGACGAAATCTAGGACAAGAAACAAGAGGCCTCTCCGTCACTTGCATCTCGGTTCGGCGTGTTGTGTTTCATAAGGCTCCGGAAAAATAACATGTCTCTTGGGCTTTGCATGGATTTATTTGTATTGACGACACTTCCATTCTCTTGGAGAGCCCAACATCTGTCTAAGTATTCTTCCTTTCCGGCCTGAATCTCAGTCAATTTGCTGTGCGGGTTGGAGCTTCGGCTGTAAATGACTTACTGGGGCATACTTAATCATCAATGAATGTGCACCAACGGACCGTGCAACAGGGGACCTCTCAGTTGTCCCATCCGCCGATCGCTAAACGACTAATCGCTCGCGGGGACTCAAACTCTTGAAGTGCCCATGTGGCTTAATTCCGCTATTGCGCCGTTGGCGTGCGCTGCGGCTTCGCCTAACGGCTTCAGGCGCCGGGTTGAGCTCAAGCAGCGTAAATGCTGAGAACAAAGTCAAGAATGGAAGCAGGAGTCTTCACACCCTGCTCTGTGATGAATGCCTTGACCATCTCCGGTGGCTAACAGATTGTCAGTGCGTTCTCTCGTGGTTGCAAAAGGAACTGAGCTCACCGTGTAGTCTGCCCGCCACTGCGATGGCGACTCGAGTATCGGGGCGTCCGAGTCGCCGCCCTTTGTGAAATCAAGAATAGTCTGCTTAATGCCGAGCTGCCCGGCGACGTCGGTCTGGTCCACCGGGAGAATCATGGCGAACTTATGTGTCTCTGTCACGACGTAGAAGTCCTTCTTGAGGTTCTTGGCGACCATCGCGAGCTGATAGGTTCCCATGCGGCTGAGGACCCCGCCGCGCTGGCAGACGGCCTCGGCGCCGACAAAGACCCTGTCAACCCTGCCCAGCTTCATGGCGTGGGCCATGCTCGCGACGTCGACGGTGGAGACGGGCACGCCGCGCTGCCGCAGCGCCTTAACGGCGGGCTCGCTGTCGGCGCTGCCGTCCATTACGTAGATGACCCTGAAGTCCGGGCTCCCGTTCAGCTCCGTCCTCCTCTCGGCAGCGCGGAGCAGCAGCTGCTTCACGCAGCGGCTCCCGCCGCTCGTCATGACGGTGCTCCCCGGCGTGACGTAGCGCGCGCCCACGTCGGCGATAGCGATGCGGGCTGCCTTGGCCTGCGCGGCAAAGTTGCGGCTGTTGCGGACCAGGTACTGGCGCATCTCGTCGAAGCTCATGTCCGAGTTGCTGGCGACGCGCATCTTGGAGCCCAGGTCCCCGGTCTCCTGCCTAAGGGACCGCAGGAGGGTCTTCATGAAGAGCTCTGCGCCGGCGGTCGGGGGTATCGGGTTCGCCACGGAGGTCTTGAGGAGCTCTATTTGTGACTTGACGATCTCGATTGTCTCGAAGACGGTGGATGCGGTGGTGTGGCTGAGGAGCTCGATGAGGGCTTCTATGGCCGCGACGGGCATGGAGAGGTCCTGGTCTTCGGATAGAAGGCGGTCGTAGGTCGCGACCAGATCGAAGACGTCGCCATTCTCGGTCCTGACCGCTGTCACTGGGGTGGGAGATCGAATTGGGAGATCTTTGCCTGCTGGTGCAGGCGCCAAACGGTCTGTCGTCATTTCGAGTCTTTTGCTGCAGGTCTTGTGTACGCGTTATGAGTGTTTGGAGGCTTGGATTTGGCTGTGGTGGTCTTGATACGGAAGGTGATTGTAGTCGAGTGTCACGGGTGTCGTCTGAATTTGTGTAGGGGGGTGTGTCTGTCGTGCACTCCAAAAGGTCGTGATCAATCAGATTAGGTGGGATGAGGTGAGTCAAAGTAACCTGGGGAGGTACCAGGAAGTGATGATATTCTGCCACTCGGGACTCTTTCACCGCCTTCTGCTTCAAGCCTCCCTGCATGCGGGTCTTGGAGGGGTAGCTTTACGGGGACAGCTCCCCGGTACCTAGCCAGATAACCAGCTATCGATACATACAACAGATCCGTTCCCCTGAATCTTTGTTTCGTGCTCTGTTCCACCTCTCAACACCTTCCTCTGCTTTCCAATAAAAAGCGGAAACAGTCCTCTTTTTTTTTTTCTTTTTTCTTGTGCCCACGATGGAGTCGTTCGATCCTGCAACGGGTCAGCAGCTGCCCTCAGATGCAATTCAGCGCATCCTCTTCATCGCAACAAGCGTCCATGTCTACAACATCCCGCCCCTGGCTTCGACCAAGGGCTACACTGCAGCCACGTGGACCGAGGACCCCAAGCGGCACATAATAACGTGTCGCTTGCGGGTCATCGAGACTGCTTTGCCCCAGCCTGGCGGAGATGACAAGGTCAAGACAGACGTCATCCTCGAGGACCCGTCAAGCGGGCAGCTCTTTGCCGCTGCCCCTTACACCACACCTGCCATCGTAGAGCCCGCTCTTGACAGCTCACGCTTCTTTGCCGTGCGGGTTCAGGACCCCAGCGGGCGGAAGGCTACCCTGGGCATTGGCTTCGAGGAGCGGAGCGAAGCCTTTGACTTTGGTGTTGCGCTGCAGGACGCGAGGAAGGGGCTGGGGCTGGACGGCGGCCCTTCTGCTCCATCCGAGCAGCAGAAGCAGAAGGAGAGCGCTGAAGAGAAGCGTGATCTCTCCTTGAAGGAGGGCGAGACAATCACGGTGAACCTCGGCGGTAAGTTTGGGCGGCGGCGGCCGCAGCAGGAGTCCGAGCCCGCCGGCACCAGCGCGGGCCTCTCGTCTTTCTCCTTGCCGCCTCCTCCGTCTGGATCTAGCTCACGCGGTGGCTTCTCCCTTGCCCCTCCGCCGAGTGCCCAGGAGGTCAAACAAGACCAGAAGACAGCCAAAGACTTGGGATTCGACGACGGCCAGTTTGGCGAATTCGCCTGAAGCGGGGTGGACGTGTTTCACAGTCGAAGGCCAGGCCTAGCCATAGGGCTGAATTGAAGATGGGTCTAGGGACGATTCACTCAAAGACACTACCTCATCTGTGAGAAAATCACTCATCAAGGCGTAAGAGACATCCGCGTCGGTGGGAGCTGGGTGCGAGGATTCGATCATCCTTGAAAGAGATCGGAATTGAAGTTAACTACATTATACTCGACATGGAACTTCACCCGTTGATGTCTGGTATACCTGCCAAACCTACATCTTCAGCCGATATTGAAAAATGCCAAATGGTTTTCAATCCCGGCATGCTCATCCTCTTGTCTTTTGGCGAAGGGGAAAACGTATCAGCAAGCGACCACCTCCGGACGGGCTCCGCCACCAGGCTATACCGCTTGACATCTTCCATCTTGACCGGGGTGCCACTGTCGCTTTGCTCTACCACAGACACGGCCTGGTCGATGCCTGCGAGATACGAGTCCTGCTCATACTGCACGATAGGATTCACTGTTGGAAACGTCGGGCTGAAAAGGAAGGGAGAATCCAGTGAACTCGGCGGCACCGGCGTTGGATGATAGAGGCCCGCAGGCAACGGCGTGAGGGGCGATATGGGCGTCAAGGGCGTCATGGGAGGCATTGGGATCTGGCCCCAGGGCTGTGGCGGCGGGTAGGAATACGGGAACAGGCTTGTCTGCTGGGTCTGGTAGAAGTATTTGAGGTCTTCGTTCTGCAGGTCGTTCAATCTCATCGTGATGAGCTCCTCCTGCTTGCGGGACTCGGCGATCTTGCTCCTTAGCAGGCCGGCTTCTTTTCGGAGCTTCCTGGCCTCGCCCTTGCTCTGCGCAGAACCGAGTCGTGCTTCCACATTATGGAGGGCATGAGAGAGCCTTTCGCCCCTTTCGTGTTGTCTACGAAGGTTCTCGACAAGATAAGAGCGCTCATTGGACATTCCGATCATGGGTTGGCTGTCGAAGCTCATGCTGCGAAAATTGCGTATGGGTCCCGGGCAAAGGTTCGAGTTGGGTTGATTGATAATGTAGTTGTTCCTGACTGGCTGGAGGCTGAGACCATCCATCTGCTGCACCAGGCTGCCCAAATTTGAATTGTACATCGGCCCTCCATATTGGTCAGCTGAAGGTTTTCGAACGGACATGGTCGTTGTATGTTGGATATGATTTGTTGTCAGACGTGGGCAGGAGCCGAGTTCTTGAACTCTACACAAGTACCGGCCAATCAAGCCATAATCAGGTCCTACAAGTACAGTCCTTTTTTGTAATCATAGGCTTTTCATGGGGAGGCAAATGGCCGGGCGAGGTGAGACAAAGACAAACGAATGTTTCTAGACTAGTGTGGCCTGAGTCTATCTTGATGCTCAACCGGGCTAAAGTTAAGCTGCCGCAGAGTCTTTGTGCCCCCGGAGAGCTCAGACAAATCCAGGCTCACATGTCTGGTCCACATTGACGTCAAGAGATCTGAGAACTCCAGCCCAATTATCAAGGCTTGCTTAAACCCGACTGGAGTCTCATATGTCCTGGTCTCCTGTGATAGGTGGAATCTCAGGAAGTTAAGGCGAGAAAGATACCAAAAGCGGTCAGATTTCTTCAATTGGTGTGTATCTAGGGCGAAAGTGCATAGAAACACACTGGTATTTGTTTCCTAGGGATGTGCTTCTCATATGTTGAAGCCATCGTGCCCTGATAATGTAGCGAGGTTAGCGATCTTGGAGGTACGGTGAAGCGAGATCGAAATGTGAAATTACCTGGAGGATCACAGAACCGCCAAAGCCCGGCTGCTTCAGCGGCCCTCCTGACCGACGAGATCTCATCATTCGTGACGGCGCGGTTGATGTCAGAATATCGCACATCGTCATTGCTGCCGCCGGGCCCTTCTGTCTCCTGGTCTTTCCCACCACTCGTCTTGCGCCGTGATTTACCAACATGGGCATCCGGGTGATACTGTTCCATGATATTCACGAAGCAATCTGTCGAAACTTCCTTCGCCAGGAACTCCATGATCTTCTGGCTCTCCGCCTCGAGGCCCGGCATGACGAGATGCCTCACCAACACGCCTTTCTTGGCGATACCATCGCCCGTGAAGCATAGATCGCCGACTTGGGCATGCATTGCCTTGATGCTCTCCCTCGCTGCGGCGGCGTAATCCGGGGCTTTGAGCAGGCGTTTGGAGGTGCTTGGCTCCCACACCTTGAAGTCCGGAAGATATATATCAACCAGCCCGTCCAGCAGCTCGATGGAGGCGAGTGAGTCGTAGGAAGACGTGTTGTATATGATCGGGATCGTGAGACCCAGCTCCCGCGCGTGCATGATTGCAAGGGCAACCTGGGGCACAACGTGCTCGGGGGTGATGAGATTAATGTTGTGAGTCGACCCGACCTCCTGCAGCTTGACGAACCACTCGCCCAGCTGCTCGGGCGAGAGGCTGAACCCGTTCTTCTGATGCGCGATGTCATGGTTCTGGCAGAAGGAGCAGCGCAGGTTGCACATGGAGAAAAACACCGAGCCGGAGCCATTGTGCCCCTGGACGCATGGCTCCTCGCCGAAATGCGGCGCGATGACGTTGACTACGACATCGGTCCCGACCTGACAGACGCCGGTCTTCTCATAGCGGTTCACGCCGCAGAGCCTCGGGCACAGGTTGCAGTTGCGCAGGTGGGCGTAAGCCCTCGACCGTTTCAGAGCGGCATCCCGCGATGACAAGGTCATGTACTATACGGAATTGATCGCTATTAGCTCCAGCCTCGATGTTCAAGCCCAGGAAGGTGGACATTCATACTTGAGGGACGTAATCGTCGAGCAGGAAAGGAGGTGCCAGGTGGAGAGAGCGTGCTTGTTGAAAACGCGCAGCTGGCGGCTTCCAGACGGAGCGTGCGGCGGCCGCCCACCTCATTATGTGGTTTTACTTAGCCATATACCAACTTGGAAGGGTTTTGAGTCACCAGGTCGATACTCATGTGTTTCTGAGACAATTCCGAGCAAACGATACTGAGGGATTAAACCAAGCTCGCTGTGGCCGCGGTGTAAACTGCAGGTGGCAGGTGTGGTTGGAGTTTAGGGGTTCTAGTGGTGTTAGCGGTCATGTACGGACACTGCCGCCCGGCGAAGCTCTATATCATGGAGCTTCCCTCACAGCCGCCAATCCGGACCATGATTTTCGTCATCAGTGGAACCAGGTCACCGTTCAAGACATCGAGCTGCTTCGACCAAAGTAGCTGCACTCATTACAAGGTGCGAGTTCACATATTCAATTGACCACTTGTGGTACCGTAAAATTGAAAAATAATCCCCTGTCTACTGTGCATAATGTCATAAACCACCAAGCCACCCAATCCCTCTCGGTTGACCAGCAACCTTGAGTCCCCTTTTTTTTCCGAAGAAAAATATCAACCAAAACGCCTTGCTAACAGATCATAAAACATACAAACCAAAGTGCATGTCCTCGTCCTATTACCGGACTGAGGATCAAGTGCCACTTCCCACCTACCTACTGAAATCCACATCCGAAATGTTGGTGTTACGTATGTACGGCAAGTTACTTCAACGCCGTTCGTCCCACGGGGTTTTCACCCGCGTCTTTGTGCCGAATCTCGTCGCTTTAACACACCTATCTCATGTGCTCCATTGTAATATCCTAGGCCTTCTTGTCGCCGTTTATTTGCCGGGGGATGTCGAGGAGTTCTCTAGTTGATAAGAACTGTACAATCTGGGCCGGTGTAGCCACCCTTTCACTCCCACTGAAATCTTTCCTCATTACTTCCCACAGTAAACTCAAGGCCGCCTCTGCGGCCTTGCATTCACTTCTGACGCGCGTTAGCTGTTCGTTAGTAATGATTTCCTTTGTGACAATTTCCTGGAGAAATGCACTCATTTGCTGGTTCTCCTCCCTGAGTTGACGGTTAGATGCGAGGATGGGCTCGTAATCCGAGACAACGACAGAGGGCAGACTGACCTCACTTGAGTTGCCTTGACTTGTCATCGCCTCGAGTTCGTAGACAGACCCGCTAGACAGGCTGACCTCACTCAGACTGTCTCGACACGTCGTCCCCTCAAGTTCGTAAACGGAACCGCTAGACAACTCACTCAAGTTGTCTCGGCTCGTCGCCTCCAACTCGTATATCGGACCGCTATATAGACTGACCTGGCTTGACGCTTCCAGTTCATAAATGCCGTTAGCCTTTCGGCCATGGCTATCATCTGCTTCCTCCGTGATTGCAGGCATTGCCTTCTCTAGCAACGCCTTCTCCTCCCGGGTGAAGACAGCTCCGCGTCTTTTTTGGGATCTGGATTTCCGAGGCTTTCGTGCAGGGATTGGAGGTTGGCAGCGGAGAGGGTCAGGCATTCCAGCCGGGAAAGGCCCTCGCCTGCCAATATTGGCTGGAGTTATTAATACCAGGTCGGGAGATGGGCCCTGAGCATCACTTACTGCTGCAGGTGCAGAAATACTTTTTGGCCGAGCACGATGCTGAGATATGCACGACCGCAGGTTTGAGACTGCACGCTTCCTCCTCAACTTGGGTGAGAGAGGGCTGAGCAAGTGGTACACACGCGCGAGCACGATTGGAAGGCTAGTGTTGTAGGAACGCATGCTTACAGCAGACCTCTTGACTACCGTTGAATCCAGCTTTCCAACGGCGTTTCCAGTGTGCTGCTGTAGGTGGTCCTTGAAGGGCATCATCTCCTCAGTTGCGGTATTCGATGGTTGACTGATGCGTTGTCGAGCCGGTTACCAGAAAGTGGGCTGTGGAAGGTTTAAAAGTTAAGCCAGTGGGTCATAAGGAAGCATACATCATATCGAAGGCCTTCAAAGGGTTATCTCGTCAAAGATGAAGTATGTTGTTGGCAAGTGAACAATTAATTGTAACACAATAGCGGCTCGAGTGGCCTCCAGCCTTTCGACCCACTCAAAAGGCACAAAGAGCCAGTCGATGCCTTTACCTTCTTTGATTTGCAAAGACACAGACAAAAGAAAATCGTTAAAAATGGCATTGTATGGGTGACAAAGGTCAGCAATTCCACGAATCGGCAGGCAATGTCAGCATCCGTTCTATTCAGATAGCATGATGATAATCAGATCCGCTGCTTTGACGTGCCGTGGCCCCGAAAGCTGGTACCCCAGGCCGTTGGGCAACTGGGAGAATCGTCAGTTTTCAAGAGCACAATTGGATAGGCAACATCTGACCTCGTGGCCGAACTGGGGGAGCAAGTGATCCCATCAGGCCCTGGCTTGTTTTCAGATGAGAGCTTAGCCCTACTCCTGGGAAGCTCTCTGCGTTTGCCCGTGGGTTGTGCTGCATCTCACGCAACGGTTGCCGCGTCCGTCCCGATCCATGAAGGGGCACCGGAGTACCTGACACCAGTCCGGGCACTGTTGACAAGCCGAGACCATCTGCAACCGGCCGTTGTCGATGTGCCACTGGTGTCACTGGTGCATCCACTGCTGAAATGTTAGATGTTAAAAGCTTTGGATTTCAGCGGGTAACTTGCCTTGTGGGAATGCTGGACCGGCCCAAGTTCCAGCGCGAGGATCGGGCGCCATCATTTGGGGCTGCGCGGGCACGGCTCCAGGACGATTAGGTCTCTCGGCATACTGCGCTGGACGAAGTGGTGTTCCAATCTGGTGTTCGTAGATTCCACGATCTGCCTGCTGCTGGGCTGCATAAGAGGAAGTCCCTTGAAGAGTTGTGTCCACCGCGTCAGAGGCGGCATCCTGTATGTGGCCGAGCATGGCCTTGCGTTTGAGCTTATCGTATAGTTCCTGCGTCTGAAGCAGCTTCCGATTCTTCTCCTTGTAAGCCTGCGTCAATTCCTCATTCTTCCTCCGGAGGCTGTCGTGGTCAAGATTCATGCCTCATGAATGTTAGCTGCGTTCGGACTGAGACATTCGTCTGGCCGAGACTTACTTGCCACCTTATTCTGAAGGGCTGTGAGCTGGGCGTTTGCATCACCGATGATGTTGTCGAGGGAAACGCTCAACTCAGTATAGCGGCTGGTGAGGACTTTACAACGATGGCTCTCCCAGGTCCTTTGCACACAGTCTCATTAGGAGCTGCCAGGCGTCATATGTCTCGGTGCGTGCGGCAGGGGGACGAACAGGTCCTGTGTCATCTGATAAGACCAGAAGCTCAATGCACGTCCCGCACATTCCATGATAGCCTCTGGGCTCAGGCCACTAAGAACACTGGTCTTGTAGTCCTCACTGGGGTTGAGGTTGGTGATCATGGCATCGTCAGGTCTCGGTAGCTGTGTCTGACATGCTGGACATCTTCGGTGTTCAGGGGCACTCCCGTTGAAACCGGAGCGGCTGGCGCAGTCAACGCAGAAGATATGACTGTTGGATTTTCTTGGCTCAGCAACAATGACCTGTGCACTTGGGCGCGAGGAAGGACGAATACCTGCAGGTTGTCACCAAGGCCCGCTCACGCAGCTCCACACGACACTTGATGTCGTTGCACCTCAGGGCATGCTCCATGCTTCCAAGGTTCTTACTGAAGTCAAAACCAGCCCGTAGTGGTCATCTGAAGGCGCCTCGATCTTTGTAACACCTCGAGGGTGTTTGGTTGTGGGCTGTCATGTTCGAAACGGAAAGAGGGATTAGTACCTGCTGTTTCTGAGACCAAAGCCCAAAAGTTGCAGTTGATTGTTCTCATCCAACCTGAGAGCTTCGTGACTTCCATTTTGGCACAACAAGGACGTTGCTGCAGGGATGTACTGCAGCTGCTGTAGTTCAGCACCGTTGGTGTAGTCCCTTGTCCCTTTGCACGTAATTCTGGAGGTGTGGGTACCTCCCTGCCCCTCCCCTCTGCCTGGCAACTTCCCCACCTGTGGCTGAAGCTTAGCTTAGCTTACCTCACCCAAGCTTATGTTGACTTCACTCCAAGACAGTCTGAGGCAGGTCAAGTCTTTGAAGTAGGCGCGCTGTGATTTTTTGAGGCAAGCAAACAGGCCGAGAGAAGATTCGAAAGTCGGTATTTCTCGTTCCCCTCCCGTTTCGAATAATACACTCGTGCAGGGGAACGCTAATGACAATTGTTCACAAGATGACGGAACCTGTGGTTATCCAGACACCACCGGTCCTTGCGGGACATGTGCTTTCAGAGAAGGAGAAGAAGTATGACCGCCAACTCCGTCTATGGGCGGCAAGCGGTCAAGCTGCTCTGGAGTCGGCAAACATCCTGCTTTTCAACACAGGCTCCGGGACTGTCGGCGTGGAGGCCCTCAAGAATCTAGTGCTGCCGGGTAAAGTCGTTCGCTGAAAAGCCGCCTTCTGAATCCTCGCTGACCCATCTGCTTCCACTCCAGGAATCGGCCGGTTTGCAATTATTGACGATGCCACGGTGCAAGAGGCTGACCTAGGTGTCAACTTCTTCCTTGATGAGAATTCTCTGGGCAGGTCAAGGGCACAGTCTTGTACAGAGCTCCTTCTCGAGCTGAACCCAGAGGTCCATGGGGAATGGTTCCCAAAGAACCAAGTATGTGGGCAAATGGTCCCCTCGAGAAAGCGAAACTCTATTTTGAGAGACTCGGCTGATGAATTGTTGCAACAGGAGCCGTTGGAACTGGACAAGATCCTCGCAGCATCGCCTACTTTCACCATGATCATGTATACTTTGCCAATCAGCCCAGAGCACTTGACGGTGCTTCAAAGCTACGGAAGCAAACATCTCACGCCGTTGGTTGCCATTCATTCGACAGGATTATACTCCTACTTTCGCGCGAGCCTCCCAGGCACATTCCCTATCGTCGATACTCATCCGGACGAGGCATCCACTACTGACCTACGACTGCTCTCCCCGTGGACTGAGTTGCGTGAATTCGCTGCCCAGATGACGAAGGATTTGGACGCCATGGACAACCATGAGCACGGCCACATACCGTATGTGGTCATCCTACTGCACTATCTCGAACAGTGGAAGGACGCCCACGGCGAATACCCAAAGAATTACGCCGAAAAGACCGAATTCCGGAAGACGGTAGCGGATGGAGCCAGGAGGGACAACCCGGAAGGTGGCGAGGAAAACTTCGACGAGGCGGTGGCGGCCGTCGTGAAGACAATAGTGCCCTCTAGTCTCCCGTCGAGCCTGAAGGAGGTGTTCGATTACATCCACACTCAACCAGTATGTTTCATTGGAAAATCCACATAGTCGATAGCCAGAGACGCTAATGTGGGATGGTTCAGATCGAGCAAAGGTCGAGCTTCTGGATCATCGCCGACGCGGTGAGTCAGTTCTACAAGAAGCACAACTGTTTGCCACTGCCGGGGAATGTACCGGACATGAAGGCGCAGTCCAAGGTCTACATCCAACTTCAGAGCATCTACAAGGCCAAGGCTCGGCAAGACGTGGCTGAGGTCCTGGGCACGGTTAGACAGAGTCCAGGTGGCGAAGACGTTGATCCTGGAGAGGTTGAGCTTTTCTGCAAGAATGCAGCCTTTGTCAAGCTCGTCAATTCCGGAGCCACTGGCGCTGATCGTCTCGCCAAAGTCGCCAGTAAGCCCTGTCATTTCATAGACTAACCGATGGCCCCACGCCGGGTGAAAGGGGGGTGCACGTGTGCTGATCAGCGTTTGCAGAGGAGGAACTGGACAACGACGTGAACATGGAGGCCATGATGATGCCTTTGTCCTTGATACCGATATATCTGGCACTCCGTGCGACGTCACACAATGCTCAAGCGTCATCAGAAGAGATTTTGAAGAATATTGGAGACACTATCCCAGACGCCGGTCAAAACGAACGACTTGTCAAGATATCCAAAGAAGTGGCTCGCGCTGGCGGCGGAGAGCTTCACAACACATCCGCTCTCACAGGGGGAATGGTGGCCCAAGAGGTCATCAAAATCATTACGAAGCAATACATACCAGTCGACAATACCTGTATTTTTGACGGAATTAGCAGCAGATGCCAGGTACTTCGTCTCTGAATAGACGAAGGCGATGATGGTTTGCATCGGCTTCCACGAACAGCCTTCCAGGAATGTGCCAACCTTCAATGGGAGTACGGCCAACGTATTTTCCGGCCTTGTATCTCCGGGGCTGGAGGACTTATGGCTTTGCCAATGAGAGTTGGGAACAGCTGACGGGCGCTTGGAAATGGTTGCATGGGACCTGACGCGGCCCTGTTCAGACACCAGCGGGCTCGAAGAATCCAAAACCGGAATGGATCACTTGGCCAAAGAGGTTGGTTCAATCTCGCGTCATCCGGACCGCGTCCTCCAAACCAGGGCAGGTCTATACAAAATAGATGACGAACTTGTCGGGCCGCAAGTCCTAGATTGCTAGCAGAGCCACTGCAACCCTGGAATGACTCCTAGTCCGGGGAGGGCGTCATTGCGGCAAACTGTGACTGTGTGTGCCTGGAAATCAGAGAATCAAAGCAGTTGCTATCAGATCAGAATGCCTTGCTCGCTACCGATGGTGAAGCAGGTTCAAGGGTGCTTGCAGGAGATAACGCAAGCAGCCGCTGTGTCTCTTGTTGGAATGGAATTGCGTGACAACTAACGTCGTCGAACTCTTTCGATTCAGGGACACACCGCTACGAGTGCCAAAGTGAGCTGTGGCACCGAGCATCTCATCTAGGCCTTCTCCGCTTTGTTGGCCCACAATGCTGCCGTTCAATGACTTCGAGTCCGTGGGACTCAGAAGCTTGGGGAGTTGTGCCTGGATCGTCCCTTGCCCAGCCAGAACGAGCGGGACCATGTCCGCGAAACGCACATTGCTGACAGGTGTGAGTGGACCTAGGCTGCCGAGAACTTCAGAGAAACATGGTTGGAATATACAAGCATCCTAGGCATATCTGAGCTGTTCTCATGGGAGCATGAAGGTCGAGATTGCGGTCGGTTTCGAGACGGTGTTCTTAATGCTCTTATTGGGTGACAACAGCACAGCCCCGGCCACAAGCATAGCTCACAAGAGCCTGACAGCTGTCTTCCCACCAACATGGACTTCCCGTGCCGCAGCTCGCTTGGGCTTCAACGCCAAATCTGACAGCTTCCGGCAGCCGGCAAGCTCCAGGCTATGAAGCGACTGCTGCAAATGTATTGTGATAGCGCTGGCAACCGCCTCGTATGACGACGGTCGGCTGGGAAGAGGGCGTCATCAGAAATTGCTGGATGCGACATTCCATCGCGTTTCACTACAGTTGATGATGTCGAGCCTCGCTTATTTGAGAGGGACAGCAGACTGGCGAGAAAACAAACCGGCTACCTGTCATGTGGACATCTAATTGGGACAGCAATACTGCATTTGGGACACCAGGCCGGGCCTCGATGCCGTTACCATGCCTCTGATTCGGCACACCTGCACGACATCCCCAAAAGCAGGCGAGGTATATGATCAGCGGCCGTCGATGCCCATTGGCTTGCCCGGGCGCCGCCCTGTCTCTTGTGCGGAACGCTTTTCTGCATTATCAGGGGTGAGGATTATCCTGATTGGGAAATCCCGTCTGGGTCTTTCAGTGTCCCACAGCGTGAATACCCGCATGTCTCCATATCGCGAGGAACCGGAGTGCGCGGCATCGACTGCAGGAAGATGTCAGTTATTATGAAGATGAGTCGAGTCGCGCATATTTTGCTCGGTACAACACCGGGACCCAGAAACGGGCAGCAAAAGCTCAGGCAGGGGCAGATGCCCAGGGTGTTTCAGATCGCCAGGACACTCGAATTTCCAGCAATTACCCTGGCGAATGATTGGGTGGACAAAATCGGCAAAGAGACAACCCTGCTCATCCGATGTCTTAACATCTGACCTGCACATCTTTGATGATCATATGCAAACGGGCTCGCTTGCCTAAAAGTCCATAGCACCTGCATGCTGGCCCAAATCACCCTACATAAATAGTACCCAGTACTATGTACTTAATGTGTGCAACATGTGGGGAAGCCCAGCTGCGACGGTGACTGGCTGGTCGGCTCGACTCCTCCGTCAAGTCTCGCCGAAAAGTTCTACGGACACATCACAGTTCACTGACAAGAGCCACAACATGTTGCACCCCACCAGCCCACCAAGGCACCAAGGGGTCACTGGCAGGATCGCACATCCGGTCGCTTCGGCCATATGTAGAAGCTCCCATAGCCCGCCCCCCTTACTCATCAGTACCGGGACGCCAAGCCGCTACCGCCCTTCAACCGCCATCGTCTCATGCACGCAGTTGACCTCGTGAGACCAAGTTGTACCATGATGGGATGTGGGGACCGAGGCGCCGGAAGGGAACGGGAAGGACGCGAGCAGCGGCAGGCGGAAATCCTTCCTTTAACGCCGAAGAACACCACACGCACCCGTGGCATGGCAATGCTTCGTTCAGTCCGGGGTACACACCTAGCCGAACGAATTTTAGAGTCTGTCAGCACTTGATGCGCGTCACCAGGTGTTTCCATTCCCGGGGTCTTTTGCGGGGTGAGCGGGCGATTGCGACGCCACCCCTGGGACGACGAGTGGACGACATCAGGACCAACCCATTGCTCGATGGCATGTCCCTCGCAGACCACCGCGTCCGGCGTGCCTGGCCACTGAGCCGGTCCTTGAGAGAGAGAAGCCCACAAGCACTACACCGGCGGTAATGGAAAACTTTCTCCTGCAGAGCTTTCGCTTCACCTGCAAGTGCTCGGGGCACGCATGATGAGTGGGCCACCTCGAGGAGAGCCGCTCATCCACACCGACTGCGCCCAAGCAGCTACTTCAATGAAATCCCCCAGTGCGGCCCCGAAAAGGCAAATCTCAGCCAGACGCTATCCCAAGAAAGGGGACGGGCGCGAGAGGCGACCTCAAGTCGGGTTTGAAGCGCTTCGGGATTGAGCCGAACCACACCCATTGTATTGTGAGAGCATCGTGGTTCAGGCGCCATCTCGCGGGACCCATCACGCTGACTCGAGGTTGCTGGCGCTAATGTCGAACATGTCGATGAATCCTCACATCATGGGACAAGACGCGCAGGGCCGAGATTCCTGTGTCAGGGCTGAGGAGGCCGTCATGGTGAGCTACTCACTCATGGCCCAGTCGAGCCGCTTGGAAGCGGCGCGGTGGCTCGAGGTGCTAGCGACTAGGTCCCAGAGAACGGCAATGTGTGGGCGCCACTTCAGGCAGTGATGGGCGTGTTGCCAGGGGCAGAGGGCGTGCCAGTCAATATCGAGCTGTCAATTAACCGATGCTGGCCACGAACGAGGGAGTGCCACTGCCACTGCAGTGGTGCAGTGGTGCAGTGGTCATGTATGCGATGGTCCTGTGGTCAAACCAGAAGCGCAGGGTGGTGGCGCCGTGTAAAGGCCGCGTCTCCAGATTCCCGCGGGCAAAGGTCCCACTGATTGGCCCAGAACATTCGATCATCCATTATTCCCCATCATATCCACGGCAAGCGGCTACCGCAGCACATGCGGCTTTCCCCACAAGGTTGGATCCAACGTCCAGCCTGTCTGAGTTACACAGCACGCGTTGGCGTCCAACAGAGATCGATGGAGATGGCGATCCTCCGTCATGAGCCTGTCCGTCCTCCTTTCGACTTGCCGTTCATTGCACCTGAGCTTGTGCTGTCCAACCTGTCAGGCTGTCGGGAACACGGCCGTGTCCTGTGACTCAGGGACGGCGTCCTGCCGGCCCACACCGCAACCGCAGTGCAGTTGTGTGAGTGGCGCTGCAAAGAAGTAGGTTCCAGTCGAAGCCAGTTCACCACAGGTACCCATGTTCACACGTTGATTAGAGTTTGTTAAGCTTGATTCCCTGCTATGCATCGTCCACCCATGCCCACGCCCTGGTCCTTGTCGCGCCACATACCCACGATCCTTGCCTGTTCCTGATTTGCGGTACTCTTGTCCGTCCATCGTCTGTCTGCTACGAGCTTGTTCCTTTCCGCTTCCCCCTCACTGATTTCCTGCCGAAGCCGACCCATGCTCTTCCAGCAGTCAGCCGACCTGCGTGCCACCCACGATACTGACGGGCTAGCATCATGTAGCCGAAGGTATATCGCAACGTCTTGTCTGGGCCTACGGCCGGGCGCAGGCCAGGTCACTATGGCATTGACAATACGACCACGGGTACAAGCTGTCTCCCGAGTCGCAGGTGCTTGGGCTGAAGGGAAGCCGTGCAGCTGTCAACGGGCTGCCCTGCCTCTCTGCTCATTATTATTACAGTACTTTCATTACAGTACCTAGCAGTCAGGGCTCACTCGCCTGTTTTCCTCCACCTTCAGGATTCCACTTGCATTTCCCTCACCTTCACCCAAAATTGGCCGCCGGGGGCTGGCCATATGCCAGCTGGGTTTTACTTTGGGACCGATGCCCCATTTAAGCGGTCTGGCTCGGGAACTTGTATATTCCAGACGTTTTCTGGCCAGTGAAGGGCCATGGTCTTCCTTTTTTGTCTCTTCCTCTGGCGTGGCCTCGACCGAGCATGGGGAACTCGGCATTGACCAGTCCCCTTCGCCCTCCATCCTCCTCCTCGTCCCCTTCCCCCCTTTCGAACCACATGAGGAACAACAGTACGCCGCCCCCCCTCCACCCTGTGGACGGAGACTAGGGTTTGTGCTGCATAGTACCTATCCCACACAAGGTCCCTTGCCAAGTTCCACCTCTCATGGCTCTCGGTACAGCACCACGCTGTGGACAACTAAATTGTTGACCCTTCCCCTGTCGACCTGGGTCCCCAAGCTACTCCGCAGTCCTGCACATCCCTGGCGATCCGTCACTCAAGGTCCCATCCCCACAGTCTAATTTGTTCACCCTTGCCCACCAACACTGGCGCGCAATGTCAATATATAACTATTTGCCCCCATCCTGCTTCTCCTCGGGCTGGGCTATCTGGGAGCAGATGAAGCCTTCGACGGTACTGACTCTGTGATGGCCAAGCTTTAGATCAGCTTCATCTTTCCATTTGCTCTTTGTATATATCATTTTGTCCTGTCTATGACTGTACGTGCTTTTACGATATAACGCCAGGACCAAACAACATCGCACACCACCCATCTCCACCTCTCACTGATCCACCATGGCACCGGCTACTACGACATCCGCCCAAGGTGGCATGTTTCATACCTTCCAGGGCGTCACTCCCAGGAAACCAGCTTCAGAGCAGCAACAAGAAAACCCCAAATCCAGCAGTGCCGCCGCGGCAAAGAGAATCACAACGCCTCATGCGTGTGCTGAGTGCAAACGCCGCAAGATGTTAGTTGCCGGACACTCGGGACGTGATGTGTCGGCCCCCAACTGACCCTTCTCTACCAGTCGATGTGACGGCCAACAACCTTGTGGCCAGTGTCTCTCCAGCCGTGCTCCTAAGCGTTGCTTCTACGACAAGCATCGTCAACGCGTGATTCCATCACGCAAGTAAGTACTTGCTGGCCGCCGTAGCAAGACAGGTCCTAACTCGCGCAGAACCCTTGAGGCCTTGTCTCAGTCCCTGGAAGAGTGCCGGTCGATCCTGAACCGGCTATATCCCACCCATGATGTTCAGTCTCTTCTGCCACTCTCCCGGCACGAGCTCTTGGATCTTCTCGACCGCCCATTTATTGACACATCCCTCCACGGGCTTCCATCACCACCTCTCACATCGCCAACTCTTAACGGCGAGCTTGATTCACCAATATGTTCCACCTCCGGAGAGAGCCTGTCTACGCTCGAGCAGCTTCCTGGCCGGGACACCGAGTGGGACGAGGAGCGCAGAGGCAGGGAACCAATCCCCGTGGAAGCGGACGATGTCAACGCTCTCTCCCTCTCTGTTGACCGGCAGACCTCGTACCTGGGGGCTTCCTCCATCAAGGCTGCGTTGATGGTCATGCTCAAGGTCCAGCCTCAACTCCGAAATGCTCTAGCCGCACCGCTCAACACCTCCGAAATCCCACACAGCTTCCCCGCGGCTCGAACCAAGTCATCGACGCAAAAGGACCCGCAAAGGATCCCGTGGTCGTGGAAAGGCCAAACCCTGATCGACGCCTATTTCAAGAGAATCCACGTGTTCATCCCGATGCTTGACGAGACGTCCTTCCGTGCCGACTACCTGGAGGGACAGCGATTTGACGTTCCCTGGTTGGCACTTGTCAACATGGTTTTCGCCATGGGAAGCATCGTGGCGATGAAGTCAGATGACTACAACCACGTCAACTACTACAACAGAGCAATGGAGTTCCTGCCTCTGGACGCTTTCGGCAGCAGTCACATCGAGACCGTACAAGCACTGGCCCTGATTGGCGGCTACTACCTACACTACATCAACAGACCAAACATGGCAAACGCTGTTCTTGGAGGCACCATCCGGATGGCAAGCGCCCTTGGCCTTCACAGAGAGAGCCTTGCCCAGAGCACCAGCGACGTGTCCGCTGCGGAGACGCGGAGACGCACATGGTGGAGCCTGTTCTGCTTGGACACCTGGGCGACCACAACCATGGGCCGACCTTCATTCGGACGCTGGGGATCTGCAATCAACATCCGAGCTCCTGAGTTTGGCATCAACTCTTCTCGAGACTCGTCACAGCACGCAGGCATCCTGCCGCTGATTGAGAACATCAAGTTCTGCAAGATTGCCACCGCCATCCAGGACACGCTGGCTGTAGCACCCCTGGTCTCAACCGAGGACCGCCACAGCCTGGACGGCCAGCTCGTCAACTGGTACAGCAGCCTCCCGTGGCTTCTACGGACCACGGACCCCTGTGCGGAGCCGCTCTACATTGCACGCTGCATCATGAAGTGGCGGTACCAGAACCTACGCATGCTTCTCCACCGCCCAGTGCTCCTGAGCCTCGCCAGCGCCAATGCGCAGGAGGCGACCGACGTTGACATCGCGCGGTTGAGACATGCCGGGAGCTGGCCAAGCACACCATCGACGACATCGCGCGGGAGTGGACGCGCAACCAGATGCAGGGGTGGAACGCGGCATGGTTCCTCTACCAGGCGGCCATGGTACCGCTTGTGTCTGTGTTCTGGCAGTGGAACAGCCCGCGCGTGCCCGAGTGGAACAAGCAGATCGAGACGGTGATCGAGCTACTCGACGCCATGGAGGACTGGTCGCTGGCGGCGCGACGCAGCCGCGAGGTCGTCTGGCGCATGTATGAGGCCAGCCGCACCATTGCGCACACGCGGTCCGAAGCAGCAGCAGCAGCACCCCTGACGCCGGGCTCGCTGCACAGCCTGGCCATCAGCACCGACATGAGCGCGCTGCTGGCCGGGTCCCCCGGCTCCGAGCTGCACATGTCGCCCATCGGGCTGGGGCCGGACGGCATCCCCATCATGGACATGCTGGACCAGCACGGCCTGCTCATGGACCACGAGGGCATGTACTGGGGCCAGGCGGACGACATGAGCCTCGACCAGTACTCGGGCGTCCACGACGGCGGCATGGGCCTGGGCGCCCCACAACAGCAGCAGCAGCCCATCGACTACAGCATGCTGACGGGGCCTGGTGGCCACCACCACCCCGGCTCGCTGGACGGCGGCTATCCCTTCGTCCACTGAGCCTTGGTTTTCCCCACGGCACGGCCGGGGTAGTATCGCCGGTACAGCCCCTACCATGGTCACATTTTCCGTTTCCCGGCTGATACTCTGCCACGCGCTAGCGGGGGTCGCGGGTCACATCCAACTTCTGCTCCTTCTTGATTCTTCACTTTTCCTCCGTTGAGCTCGGCCTCACCATGTTTTGTACATACCTTCTTTTTCTCAATCTTGTCTTCTTCTTCCCTGTTTTCCGAGCGGGCTTGCTTGCTTATTTGCTTGCTTGCATGCAAATTTTCCTTACGATGTTGATGACGACTTATCACCAAAAAAAAAACTGGTCATGGAGGCGAATTGTGTCTTTCAATACACCAAGGGGAGACACAAGTCCGAGAGACATGGCTGAGAGATGCCTTTGGATTGGCTACGACTGTATGGGTTACCGGGATGGGACTGGGATGGGAGGAAAGCCACGGCCGAGATGCAGTGAGCCGGCCACAGGCAGTACAGTAGTACAGTTACTTCACACGGGGGGGGGGGGGGAGGGCGGGGCGCAATGGGGCAATGTCTGGAAATCGATAGGAAGCAGTTTGATGAATAGTCAGGCCCTCGAATACTATCACGTCCTCAGGTCGCACAAAGCAAGACCAAAAACATCCCTCTCAAGACCAAGCAAGGATCTCGCAAGTGATGGAACGCAGTGAGCCTCCATGTGAGGTCGTGAACGTATTTTTCCGGACCACGTCACTCACACCCTCCCCGCCGGATATTGCGAGGCAAGGCCGCGTGAAGGCGAGGGTGATCGATCATGTACTGCCCTGCTACAACGACTGCTATAGCTACTGCTACTACCTCTTTCCAGCCTGTATGTTGAACCACAGGATGCAGGTCCGACACCTGCTGTGCGAGTGTGGGGGAACGAGTGGTGGGCGCGCACGCGCACGGGCTGGCTATTTTTGACGGTAAGCCCCATGCGGGCCCCGCGACGCCACCATACCATAGTAAACAGGAAGCAAGATGGTGGTGCCCCGCTGCCGCTCCCCATGGGGAAACGGTGCATGTTCATATCGGGGCGGGATCTCTGCTGTGCCGTCCCGCCGGCCCCCCACCCATCACATCAGAGACACGCAGACAGGAAAAGAAAGGTCGCAAAAAATTAAAGTACAGCCAGACGCCATGTGGTAGCGAGATTGCGGTGCGGTTAGAGGATGGGCTTGTTTGTCTTTCGTGGGGCCCGCTTACTGGAGGGACGTGCACAGAAGAAGGAAATACTTGACATGCTGGGACCCCTGGCCCGGCGTGTAGTTCCCTGTACTGCCCTGTCTGTCTCGTCAGCATTTTGTCATCGCCCGAGGGGGGACTACAGCGGTGCGCTCGATGATGGCACACGCGAGGGAGGCGAGCCTGTCTTGTTGGACGACGAGGCTTGCCTGATGCCCCTTTCATCTAATTAGTGGCAAAAAGTCTGCTTTCCCGCAGTGCGTCCGCGGTGCGGTGCGGTGCGGTGCTTATAGGCCACAGGCATGGTATGGCCTCCTTCACTCTCTCTGCGCGGGAGATCACCTGCTGGGGGCTCTCCTCATGGGGTCAACCCCGTCTGGCAAGATCAGCTTCCACGTCGACTCCATGTGGCGTTCACGGTCGGGGACGTGGGCTCGCCTCCTAGTAATCCAGCACCGCGGGTAGCAAGCATGTAGGCCACCTGTACCATGTAAGGGGGGGCGCCTAGATGGGCAGATGGGCCAGGTGGTGGTGGAGATCACAGCCTTCTTCGACGGGCTGGGCGCTGATCTGCCCTGGAGTCGTGGAGAGAAGTCTATCGATCCTGCCCACAGATTCCCTGTTGTGGTTCTGGCTGGAGGGTTCAACTTCAACCGGCCGGCAAGAGGTGAACTGGCTGACTGCCCGGCTGACACTCTGGCCCCGGCTGGATGACGGTGGACAGGGTGCTCGGCGCCGGTCTGATGGGACCCGGGCACACCTTCGGACGGTAGACATGAGCGTGTTTCCTGTTCGAGACCATGACTCTGCCCGGGGGTCCAGCGCGCGCAGGCGCCTAGTCAGTGCCGTTGGGTATGATGGCACGTCAAGGGCGTCGAGATGGGGGGCAGGTGACACATTTGGCGCCCCCCTCCCTGCGTCCTCTCAGGCGCCGTTGGCCTCTGCTGTGCGTGCCGCCAAGTGAAGCGGGTTGTGCGCGCACACGATGGGCATTTTTCCCGAGTGGCATGGGAATCTTAACGGTTTTTCGATTGGCATGGGCAGGGCGTGGCATGGGCATGGCAGGTCAGACAGGTCAGACAGGTCGATCGGCATGGAAGGAGGCTTAAAGGTAGCATGCGCGTGCTGATCACAGCAAGAGCTTGGCCAGGAATGGATGGGCCTTTGCGGGGCCCGGTGCGACTGTGCGAGGGTGTCTGGGTGTCTGGGTGTCTGGGTGTGAGCCTCTCTGGTGAGGGTGTGAGGTAAGGCCTGGCTAGAGCACCGAGGGTCCCTCCACCAGGGCCCTCCTCCTGGTCCCTGAGTCAACTTGGCAGATGGCTGGGTTCCCGAAGTTCCTGCTCGATACCACGATACCCCAATACCTGGCACCATTATGTGCAAGGGCGAATGCAGGTCCTGGGGGAAGGAAGAAGGCTGTCTGTTGGGGTAGGGTTGGAGAAGGGCGAGTGGGGACGCCCGTGGAAGCTTTGCGATTGGGGGCCACGGCCTGCACGGCGATGCATTTGGGGAAGGTTCTCCCAGCCCTTGGGCGATCGACAGGGAGCAGGGCCAGATGAACTCCTGGAGCAATCTGGAGTTGCGGCCCGTCGCGAGACGTCGATGGGAGGTCGTCTCTACCTAGAGTCTGGTGTGCAGCTGCAACGATGCGACGTTCTCAGAACATCTGATCCACCTGCCCCACCTCGACGCTGGGCCCACCCTCGCGCTGCAGGGGTGGTGCCGTCCCATGCACGCTGTGGGGCGAAAAGGGGTAGCATCGAGGAGCCAGGAAGCGGCTTCGAGAACAGACAACGCGCCCCGGCTGGACTGCCCGTCTAGGCTGGTGCCATCGTGACTTGCTTTTCTGGCCTAACCGGCAACGGCACTGCACAGAGAAAAACTGTGATGATCCACAGCTGACGGGCATACGGAAGGCAGGGCTGGCCACAAGTGCGAGTGAACCGAGGATGTGTGCCGGCACGCAGCAAATGTTCGGACGGGTCTCCAGGCTGTGTGCAGGCGCCCGCATGACCGCAAAATCATACCCGCGCCGCTGAGACCCCAAGGAACTTCGGCCCTGCTTCGAGGCTGCGAGCCCAACTGTGTCACCTATAACAGACCCGTCCTATTGTCATATGCTGGCTGCCATTAAGCCATCCAGCCCAACCAACCACCCAGCCATCCAGCCATCCAGCCCTCAGGCAAGGCCGAACCAACAGAGCACGGCAACCGCACGAGCGAACTCACCTGACAAGCGATCGCGGCCCACGGGCCACGGGCCACGGGCCACGGGCCACGGACCTCGGGCGAGTCGCTCCCATCCGCTGCAGCCCAGCCCACTTATCGACTGCTACCTTTTCACTCCATCCAACACCTTCTTACTCGCCCGCGTATACCGTACCTATGTATGTGCAGGGCACAGCATCTTGACATCGCCGGCACCAACCTCCTCCAGCCGGCGGGTACGTACAGTACAGCCTGATCCACCGTTGATATTCCATCACAGCACAGCTCCACTTACAAGGAGAGCACAATGCTACTGTACTGACCGCCGCACAGCAGCGGCCGTCTCCGTTGACTCCCTCTTGCCCCCGGGCGGGCACCAGTCCGATCTGGACATTCTCGTGTCTAATCTGGATCAGTAGGTCGCCTGTCATGCCGGCACTCGAGAGCCGCTGCTGTCGGTTCTTCCTGACCGGTGAAGCTTATGGCGTCCTTCTTGCATCCTGCTCCATCCTGATTCATACCGTACCTAGCCATGCCGGCACTCGACATCCTCGCAGTTAGGGTTCTCGGCGGAACCCGACAGGGGCCACCCCTTTATACTAGGCCGGCGCTGCTTTCCACTTTGTCCTCGCACGCCCGAATCCTGCTGCACTTGGCCAAAAGCTTCGTGGGTGGCTGCCGCCCTCGCATAGAGTTCTGGGCCCATCAAGAGGCTGCAAGGGCCATCGTCACCGTCACCCTCGGCATCGCCAATGGCAGTGGTGCGGCATTGGTCGAAAGGCGCGGGGCGGCGGCGTGGATAGCTGCTTCTTTCGGCCAAGGGCGGCCCATTAGCCAGAGTACGGGAGAGATGCCCTCGTCTGGCGGGGAGGGATCGCACGCCAGGCAATGGTGCAAATGCTGTTTACCCAGCGGGCTACTGCACATACAGCCCAACCCGGCCCAAACAAAAGGAAAGAAAAGAAAAAAAAAAAAGAAAGCATTGCATCTGGTGCTTGTTCCTTCCCACCCCCTCTCCCGACCCAGGAAAACCGCTCACCTCAAGCGAGCTGTCGCAGCCACGCGTGCAACCTGCATATTGTTGGCATGTGGCTTGCATCCGGCATGAATTTGTTCCACCAGACCAAAGCGTGGAGGACCAAATCAATCTGACACAGGTTGGTCGAGAAGCCGCATGCAGTCCCCGACAGGCCGGTTACCCGTGGACCTTGGTTGGGCTTGAACTCTCCCCCTGAGCAGCCTTCTTTTCCTGTCAGGGGTGGGGGGCCTATGCAAGCTCGAGGGGCCGGGGTCCTTGGGAGCCGCACTAGCTGCGCGGCTTGCTCACCATCCGCGGGAACCTCATTTGAAGAGCTCAGGCCTCGCCGGAGATTTTTGAAAATAACTTCATTGGGGGCGTATCATGTAGAAAAAGCATGGCCTCGCTCGGGGACTATCAAGGGCCCGGTCGCGTAGGCATGGTCAAAGCCGTAGCTTCCGAATCTCTCCGATGAGCCACGTACGATAGAAGTATACTTGGGTGTTGTACCAACTGGCGACATTCCTCGCGGGGGCGCCCCTGATTCTTTGAGCTGTCAGGAGAGTCTACGGACTTGGCAACAGGTATTCAGTAGCTTCGTGGAGCTCTGTAGGCATTGTCAGGCAGACAACACCGTCAGAGCCAGTCTTGGTCGAGGCAGACCACCCTCTGCGTCGTTGGAGCATCAGAATTTCGGGGATTAATCAACTCACTACTAGCTTACATAGTCTTGTGTAGTGGCACAATTCCTTGTCAAACCTCTAGTCCGACTGCATGGATCCAAGCGTTACAGTCATCTTAACAAATTTCCGAGCTGTGTAGCCAATGTAGCTGGGTAAGAGGGAACAGTCCAGGATTTCAAAGAGCGAGGTCGCGAAATTGCAGCCATCAAAGCCTGAAATTCAATCGGCAGTAGCAACAAGATATCATGCACATCGGCAAGCCTCTTGAGTTAATAGAAGCATAATTAGTCAGTCACGCAAGTAGTAACTAGTACCTTGAAGGTGCGAGATTTGATTACTTGTACAAACTGACGTGATGCTAACAAAACAATATCTCCACCAGAACTCAAGTCTCGAATGCTGGCGCTTGGAACATTGTCACATATGCTTTCGAACGAGTTTGCCCTTGTCCTAACAACAGAGCTATACAATTCTAGAGGACTTTTGCGGTTGCTGTTACGCCCTTGAAGAGCAAGTTAAGGCTTCACTATCAAAAGGAGACACTAGGAATACTGTCTTGTATAGCATGCGGCATAATACATCATCACCACATATTGTGGCAGTGAAAAGGGGGCACGGTGAATTTCTATCATCCAGATGTGCTAGAGGATGCTATCTGTCCTCTAGGCGCAGACCTGCACATAGAGCCCATTAACGCGTGGCTACTTATGATATCTCGCCCCGCCCTCAAGTATTGTCATCATTGTGAGTTTCTAATAAAGGCACGCATGTGAAGGCCCAGACGGTTGACTAGTGTGAGGTAGAATATATTAACACTGGTATAATGTTGGCCCAGCTACAAAGCTCTCACTTTGACCCTCAATCGCAGTCTGGAGGAGCCGCCACCGATTGTGTGTCAGAGTCAAGGTCTGGAGCGGGTTGGATGGACAGAGACCCATCTTGCTTTAGCCACGCTGAACTACCCAATTCCAACTCTTAATCTCGAGACCATTATGGCTAGAACAAGTAGGACCACCGACCTGGTGAAGTTGCGGCCTGCACACATACTGATACCACCGCCATATGGAAGGAAAGACCCGGTCTTGCCTGCGATGGAGAACTCGAGATGTTTTGAGGATATGCAGTTCTCGCCTATGGTCTCAACTGAACGTGTCAAGCTGCCCAGAACTCTGGAGTCGGGTGTTCAGGAGTGCCCCCTATCACGACGATTCAGCGGTCGGTGCGATTATCTACGGGGTTTTGAATCAAGACATAGTAAAATAAGGTGCTGAGAGGTAAACTCGCAAACATTCTCATCCAGGTAAGAGGCCTCGGTGGGTGTTTGCGTCATTGATACCCGAGGGACGATATACCCTGTGAGGTTGACGTCTTCAATATACGTTCTCGTGGTACAAACGCTGATGTGAAGACGCATAGTCTCTGCAAAGACAGATTGCAAAAGAGTCAAGGACAATATCTTCTGTGGGTCAAGTGCTTCTCCTTCCGCTCTTGCGTCCTGGGCGGTTCGTGCCGCCATGCTAACTTCTGTTTCAATGGCGTGGAATGATTCAGAGTCAGAGTCCTGGATGAGCTTTATTATAATCCATGTACAGGAAATGGTTGCGTTTGAATAAAGTTTTGAACGTTTCATTAGCACTTTTTATTCAGTAGATATGAGACTGTCGGGATGGAGGAAATTCAAAGACGCATCATCATCAGACTTACCCAAGCAAGAGCAGGCCATATATACCCCCCTTAGTCTTTCGCGAGAAGTGGAATGATCTTCCCCATTGTGCCAATCCGTCCAGATATGTGTACTCCGAAAGTCGGCTCAAACTCCTCGTCCGGCCTCGCATCGATTCCTCCCAGTAAAACTCGCGGTCTGCAAGTTCAGAACACTTACCACGCATGGCATAAAATGTATCACTGGCGTGTCTCACTCGACAGAAGCAGACCAGTAAGATCCCTCGTTCAATAGGGTAGCATTTTGCTGGTTTGGCGGCGGTCACGTACTGTGCTCCGGGAGTCACTTTGCGAGCAACGAGAACATAGCGCTCGTAGTGTTGATGGTGTGACATTTCGACATTGTGCCTGTCAAAGACGCCAAGTGACCGAAGCCTACATGAAGACACTATCCGATCACGGCTAGATTCCCAATAATTGACGAGAATATCGAAGCTGACTTTAGGCTGGAAGACCCCGAGACGCGGTGGAACTCCATTTTCCCTGGTTCGGATGAAAGCATGGCACTCGTATGCGAGCACATGTCAATCAGTGACGAGGGTCCTGAATGGGATGGAGGATATCTAGGAGGCAATTCTACAACTCGTGGACCTGGGGCAAAAACTCCCCCGCGAGTTGATTCCTATGAGCTCGTCTAGATTTTGAGTCAATTTAATAATCTGCTTCCAGAGACTGGCTAAGGCCACATTATCCTTAGATGATGTGCACCCTGACATCGACTCTAGTATTTGTCAATATCTAGAACTTCAGACCTCTTATAGAGTATACAGTAAAAGCTATATGTATAGATACCGCATACCTACAAGAAGGGTGCCTTCTTGGCCCCTCCTGTAGTTAGAATTGTAGCTACAAGCTCTCCTTGAATACAGACATCGCACAGTTTGCCAGAGCAAGTCGACCTTGCCACATATACACCCAAAGAAGTCTCAGGAACTGATAATCACGACAATTAGCATGAAATTAACAAGTCAGATCTCATACACAGTGACGTCCGATCTCAGCCACAAGAGCCTAGTGGCACTCAACTGCACGCATAGGAAAGTTCCTCTACGTTGTTGATCTCACTGTCACGATGCTGCCGTGGAGCCTTAGTGATGAATTGTCGTCACAGAAAGAAAGGAAAATAAGGGAACTACAAGGCGAAGCCGTGACATTTGTAGAACGGACCACAAGGTGGGAGCAGTGACACTCGCCCAAGAAAACATGTATATGTCAAGCCTCCTTGGCTACAAGCTGGCTAAGTTACTATTAGATACAATTTTCTCTACAATTAGTTTACTATTTGAAATGTTTCCTTTCCTGTTACCCGTACGGAAATGAACTTTTCACGGCGGTGTGCCAAATGCTTGCACCTACATCCTCAACTCATGCGAACTCTACACCATGATATGGGCAGCGTATTCACATAAGAGGAGCACCGATAGGCAAGTTGGGACATGTCTCATTCGACTTTATGAAATCTCTGGATTTGGACCAAACCCTTCAGTCACACAGCTGACCTCCACCGTCTTGAATACAAAAAGCACCAGGGGTATCCTAAACTCCGTACTCATCGATGCGGATATCCTGTTCGTCACGATTTTAGACGCCTGAAATGCGAAGCAACAATAGGAAGACACCGCACGCTGGTTTAGTGCTTAGGCAGATGACTGAGATCCCGCGGTCTCTGCCGCCGCGCTTTTCTCGGCTTCCCGCCGCTCGTTCTCAACGCGGACCTGCTCACCCCTCTGCTCCTCCAGAGAGCCACGGTTGCGGCGGTATGTGCCCATGGTAAGCAGCACACCAACTCCCGCAATTATGGCGCACACCTGCATCGTCTGTTTGAATGCATCGTTGTATGCCTTGCGAATATCGGCTTGCGAAGTGGAAACCAAGGCGGGAAGGCTCTCTGTTGGGACCATCTCGCCGAGCTGCTTCCTTTGCTCCACCGCTAGTACTGCTGTTGACATGGCGATACCAATACTTCCTCCAAGCATCCGAGACTGGGAAATTATGCCTTGTGCTGGAGCTGGAAGAACGAATTGTGAGTCGTCACTGTGTCCCTATATCGGGAGGGGGCTGTGAGAACTTACCATGTTCAGTGATAGGGGCCTCCATGGCTGTGAACATGGTTGCAGAAGATGTAACCATCCCATAGCCTAGACCGATGAACACCAGGAAGCCCAAGAACTTTGGCTCGAGCTCGGCAGAGTCTGATACCGTTGTCTCGAGGGCCAGGCCCAGTGTCACCAAAGCAGAAGCGACCGTCATCGTCTCAGACAGCCGGTTTCGCCTCTTGCTCAGGGCACCCGTGATGACGCTGCCGATGCCTGTGCCACCCAACATAGGAAGCATCATGACACCAGCAATGACTGGGCTCTTGTCATTGACGACCTGAAGGCGAAGCGGTACAGCGTAAAGTGTGGCGAGGTAAGCAAACCCGAGGAATATGGTGTTCAAGATGACTGCTGTAAACACACGGTTACGCATCAGGACGAGAGGCAAGGCCGCCATCTTCTTGCTCCAAAAATGCTCAAAGACACCCTCCCATACAAAGAGGCTAATCCAACAGATGAGGCCAGCCACCAGGGGGCCGATGAAGGTTGCCCTGGCCCATGGGTTCTCCGAATGGCTATACCCAGCGTCCTGAAAGGCAAAGACGACAAGGACGGCGGCTGTCACAACCAGCAGCGACCCCGGAAAGTCCAAGTCTTTCCATGATCGCTTATGTATGGTAGGCAGGTACTCAGCGTCTGGCCATGAGATGTAGAAAAGAATCATGGAGAAGAATCCGATGGGACCACTACAAATCAGGTCAGGATTGGAAGCTTGGGGATTACGTGAAGCATGAATGAGCAACTCACTTGATCCAGAACACCCACCGCCATGTGGTGTAAGCAGTGAACAGACCACCGAGAACAGGACCAAGCACGCCAGATGTTGAAACCACAGCTCCGATCAGAGGGGCTATGTAGTTCCTGGATTTTGGTGGGGTCATCTCAGGGAAGATGATCATGGTCACTGAGAACAAGCCAGACCCGCCGATACCCTGAAGTGCTCGACACGCAATGAGGGTGTTCATGTTCTGCGAAAAGCCGCAACCGAGTGAGAAGGAGAAGAAGATGACAAAAGCGGCGACGAAGGCGTTCCGTCTGCCGACTACGTCTGCCAGCCTCGAGAAGAAGACGGCAGACCCGAGAAAAGGTCAGCGTGTAAGCCAGGGCGACCCAATTGATCTGTTGCACGTCGTTGAATTCCACACCGATGGTGTACAAACTGGTTGCGACAATGGAGGCGTCGATCATGGAGAGACACAGGCCGAGGCAGAGGCTATGCAATATGTCAGCAAGAGAAGTAATTAAGAAACTTGTATGGGGTGCAGCGGACCCGACACAGAGGAATGCAAATCGCCAGGGCGGGATGTTTGACTCTCGGAACAAGTGATCGGCATCTGGCTGTCGAGGGCCCGGGTTGGGCTCATTGCCGTCTGCAGCTGGGGCTGCCATTTTCTCGAGTCCCTAGTACGGTACTGTACAAGAGCTGAAATGTGCTTGGCGAGCAATGTAAGGGTCCGTTAAATTGCAGGCAATATGGAGGATGGTGCACTGTGGAACGTGTGGAAGCAAGTCCGGGGAGAGATGTCTCGGATAGCCTCAGACATGAGACTTCTCCCAGCTGTCAAGCAAGGTCTGTCTTCTGGAAGCAGGAGGCCACACTGATATAGCACAGGATACCTGGGATGAAGTCGGAGATCGGGACAGCCCAATCCTTTGGACACAGATAAGGAGGGGTTTTGGGAACGGGGCTGCTTTGTTTTTACTGGAGTAAGTAAGCAAGGCCGATGAAGCTAAGCTGCTCCTGCCATGAGGATGCAGGAGTTCAGCTGTAAACCCCCTCTCCTCGCAGCCACTCACGACCTGGCTGGCACACATAGAAGCGATTGTTTCCTCTTCTCTTTGAGTGCCTGCATATGCCAAACACACGCCATAGAGCATAGCGTCCCACATCAAGGATCGTGAACGCACTAGCTGCTGAAAGGCGCTTTCTCAGCAGCTGGGAGAAGAGCACCAACCATAACTCAACTGCAGGATGGGGTTGTTGATCGCTAGAAAGGCCCAGTCAGGGCTGAAAAGAGATGGCAAAGACCAAAGCAGTTGTGTTTGCTACTGCGCATGAGCATGAGCATGGGCATGGGCATGGGCAAGCCGAAGGGCAAGCCGAAGGGCTCGCCTGTTCTGTTTCCCATTCGCACTCGCTTTCGGTTGTAGACATTGCTGACCTACCGACGGAGCTAACCGCCTAGACCGGTGGCAGCACCTTCTTCGACCGGGCCCCAACCGACCAACCGCACACCATCGTACAGTTAAAAGCAGAGATGAGTGTCGTCCAACAGGCCCTGACTGTTGTCCGAGTGCGAATGCGCAAAGCAAGACCACACGGTACGGGACAAAACCCAGACCGGGCCCACTCACTCCTCGGTGGAAATAAATGGGCCACGCCGTAACTCACACACGGTTCTTCCATCACTGGCCCAGAGAGGAACAGCGAGATCTCGTGCAACTCGCATGCTGCGGCGACCCGCGTGCCTGATACCGGCGCCGCCGCTGCGCACCCACGGCCGTGACTAGGGTACGTGACCACTTGCGACTCGGCCGTAGTAACGGACGAAGTGCTTTTTCTCCCCCCGCCGCGCGCGGACCCGAGCTCACGGCCGTCTCGCCTCGGAGCACGCCAGTAGTCGAGCCGTGTCACTGTCCCATCCCCGTGGGGGAAGAGCCACGCTTGTGTAGCCTCAGGTCGCCCTTCTGGGGCGTTCTAGACCATCGTACTTGCGTCTCGGGAGGACGAGCTCGCAACGCACCGCCTGGACAAGCACGCGAGCTTCTGCGGTGCCACGGGACCTTGCTGGCCACGTCCTTGCTTCGAGGCTGAGGGTTGGTTAAGTTTGAAGTCAAAGCAACCAAACCTCTCTCGCACCGGCACCCGTAAAGGGGCACGGTTTCGAACGCGGATCGCTTTCGCAACGATCGTACCTCGCGCGCTTCTCCCCTGAGTCATCAAGCGGTAGTGAGACGATGGAGCTCACCACGCTCAGTGCACATCATGAATGGGGAGACGGTGGCGGTCCGTGAACTGGAAGAACAGGCTGGTGAAGGGACGGTAACCACGACATTGATATGCACATGGACCCAAGCTTATACAGTACGCGTCGTCCGGTCTCCCTCGTGTGGGGCCGAGCGACAGAGCAATGCCGTTGCCGTGAGACCACCGACTTCGGGGGCGTTTTCGCGACAAAGCTTGCCGACCCAGCAGGATGAGGGGTAATTCCGGGAGCTCTCACTGCCCTTGCCTTCTCAGCAGTCATTGACTTGCATCATGGCGGGGTAGTAGCTTCAACGGTGCCCAGGTATCTGCCCCTGATGTTTGAACCTTGGCATTGCGTTTGCGTGCTTGGTATCCGGTCAGGGTCGCGGGTGCCAATAAAATAGTCCCCTGGAGGCGGATTTCCGTACCGTGCTTTCTTCACCCCCGGATACAGTTCTTCTCCTACGTCTGCAATTCTGAATATTTGAGAGACCTATGTTCCTCCAGGCACAAACAGCATTCCGAACTGTCCAGCGCCTCCTGTCGCGTCGCCAACCTGTACCAAAGCTCCCCTTTGCCCCAGACATCCACAAAAGAGCCATGGCATCCGCTGCTGCTGCCAAACGCCTCGAGGGCAAGACCGTGGTGATCACCGGCGCCAGCTCCGGCATTGGCCGCAGCACCGCGTTCGAGTTCGCCCGGACGGCGCCTCAGAACAACCTCAAGCTGATCCTCACGGCCCGCCGTGTCGACACGCTCAACCAGATCGCCGCCGACATCAAGAAGGAGGTCGGCGAGGGCGTCAAGGTGCTGCCTGTCAAGCTCGATGTCAGCAACCCCGAGGAGGTTCGCCAATTCGTGCCCAACCTGCCCGCCGAGTTCAAGGACATTCACGTGCTGGTGAACAATGCGTAAGGATGACCTCTGAAAGCTACACAGTCGAGAACCGAACAACAGGAGAAAAGAAGCTGACAACTTGACTGCGCACAGAGGTCTGGTGAAAGGCATGGCCAAGGCGCCTGAGATTGCCGAGGAGGACGTCAATGTCATGTTCGCCACGAACGTCACAGGCCTCATCAACATGACCCAGGCCATCCTGCCCATCTTCAAGCAGAGGCCCAACGGCGGCGCGGGAGACATCATCAACATCGGCTCCATCGCTGGTCGTGAGCCCTACGCCGGTGGCAGCATCTACTGCGCCACCAAGGCGGCCGTCCGGAGCTTCACAGACGCCCTTAGGAAGGAGCTGCTCGCGACTAGGATCAGGATCATCGGTATTGACCCGGGCCAGGTCGAGACGGTAGGTCTTTGGCCTCCCCAGGGCGAGGGGCGTGGTGTTCTCGTGTGTGTGTGTGTGTGTGTGTGTGTGACAGCTGGCTAACATATGTGATAGGAGTTCTCTGTCGTTCGCTTCTACGGTGACAAGGCGAAGGCCGATGCCGTCTACGCGTAAGTCACCTACTTCTCTGTGCCCATGATCTGCTTGACTGATGAGACTGACGCACCCCCAACAGCGGCGTGGACCCATTGACTCCTGACGACATTGCTGAGGTTATCGTCTTCTCCGCCACGCGGAGGGAGAACGTGGTCATCGCGGACACTCTGATCTTCCCATCACACCAGGTGCGTTCCTTTCTTGCATGTGAAACTCAGTATGGACACGTGGACTGACAGCCAGCAGGGAGGAGCCGGGGCCAGTAAGCAGCTTCCGGATACGATTTCAACCCCCTTAAGAAAAACGATTTCCCATCTGTAGCCTGTGCCTCAAAGGCGTTATCAGGCTGCAGGTTTTGACACAAGCCATGGCCATACTGTGGCCTGGTCCCCCTTATATCCAAATGAGACTTCTTCCTCGGTGCTTTGATAGCTGACTCCTTTTGCTGCAGTGCACCGGAAGTCATGAGGCGACGTACTTGCTTTTGCGACGGGTGAAAGGGAGAAGTAATTGGCTTAGAGCTAAAATTCCGGGCATCAGTGTGACTCGGTCTGCAGTTGGATTTCATACGACCCATTATGTCGACGAGTCTGTATCACACCCGAAAGGGTTAGTGATCGGCTCGTACCAATGGTATATAAACCTTGACCTGACTCGATATCGTCGAATGTAAGGAACCTTGCGCAGTTCACTGCTCAGTAAAAGCTATGAGACCATATATTGTAATGTGACTGTCTAGGAGATGGGATAGTCATGTAGTGTTTCGAGCAGTCCCGCGTGCGCAAAACATCCGTACGGCCCAACCAGTGGTGTATATCCTGGGCTGTGTTTTCGTGGTTGGACCTTGAACGGCAAGGGAAACGTGGATTTACGACAACTGTTCAGTTTCGAACTTAAAAATGAATAACAGGGCCATCAAAGGCAGCTTCCGCCCCAGCTCTTCGTCTAGCGTAGGTAGGTTTGTATGTCCGCACATTTCCTCCTGACTGCAAGGGTCGTTGATTGTAAGCAGTGTGGATAGGTACACGCAGTGGAAAGGCAGTATATTCTTAGAGTAAAGCACAACTGAACCTGATTATTTGCCTTCCTGGCAAATTCATTAGAGTTCATAGCTCTTTTTATAGAGGCTGTGGCGCCTGTAAAGCTCCCTTGAAGCTTTTAAAATAAACCATCTATACGCGGCTTATATATAAAAGATATTATATCTTTATATTAATTATAAATATATTAATAAATATATATATAAATAACTAAGAGCTAAATATATACTTTAATATATACTTTTAGCTATCTTAACTTTAAAAGCTATAAAGTTTAATTGTTAATTAAAGATTAAAATACTTTAAATTTCTTATTTCTTAAAAATAAATAGGAAAGGAAATAAAGAATAAAGCCTTATAAAGAATTTTTTTTTTATATTATATAAATAAATTCTTAAGAAAAGATATTTAATATTTAATTTAAAGTTAAATAGGTGTTTAATTAAGAGCTAAATAAATATTTAAAAATATCCTTAAGAAGTATATAATTGCTATTTATAATTAAAGTTAATGGATTATTTACTTGTTTATAAGGGGTGTTATACGCCGTTATTTAATCACTTCTTAGTTATAAACTAATAATTAACATAAAAACTTTATTTTATTAATTATTTTAATAAGAATTAAAAAATTAAAACTTAGCTAAATATTTATTATATATATTTAGCAAGTTTCCTTTCTTTAAATAACTTAAATATACTTTATTATTATTTTAAATTCTTATAAATTATAAAACTTAATAGCTTAATTAATTAAATTACTTAAATTCCTTAGTAAAAAATATTAATCTTAATTAATTAATTTATTAATTAATTATATTATAAACCTTAATTAATTATATAACCATCTTAATTATTATTATACTTTAATATTTTAATATATTATTATTAAATCTTTATTAAATTATTAAAAAGCACCTTATTATTAATTATTTAATTAAGCATATTAATAAGCCTTTAATTAATTAAAAGCCTTTATTTAATATTATTTTATTAAACTTATTTTATAAATTAAATAATATAATTATATCCTTTTATTTTTATATAATATACTTTTTTATATTTTAATAAATACTTAATTTATTTATATAAAACTTATATTATTTAAAAGCCCTTAATTAAATCTTTTTAATTATATTACTTTTAACTTATATTTTTAATATTTTATAGCTTTATATATTATTAAATAAGAAATATTAATTTTTTAAAAATATTTAAAAAAGGTTATTTTTAATATAATATTATAAAAAATATTAAATAAACTTAAACTTTTTAATTTATATTATTAATTAATTTATAAAGCCCTTATAAAAAACAAAAACTTTTTAAATAAGTTTAATAATTTTAATCCTTAAACTTTTAATATTTTAAAAAAAATAATAAAAAATTATAAAAGATTTTTTAATTTTAAAAATTAATTAAATATAATAAATTTAAGAAATATATAAAGTAATTAAAGAAATATTTTAAGTTTTATAAATATAAAAACTTTTAAATCTTTATATATATATTAAGATTTTTCTTAAAAAATAAAAGTTTTTAACTTTAAATATATTTATATAAATAGCTATTTTTAATAAATATAATATTTTTTAACTTTTTAAAATAAAAAACTATTTATATTAAAATATTAAAGCTATAAACTTCTTTATTAAAAAGGGGATTATTAAAAATAACCTTAATTTTTAAAATTATTAAATAATTAATAATTATAAACTTATAACTTATATATAAATTATATATAAGAAAGGCTCTTTATATATATAAAAGATAAAAATATAGCTTTAAAAACTTAAGAAACCTTAAAAAGATTATATAAACTTAATAAATTTATTATAAAATATTTAATTTTAAAAAGTTTCTTTAATATTACTCTTAAAAAATATAATTTTATAAAGAAATATTTTAATAAAGTTAAATAATTAATTAAAGATTTAAAAATAAATAATATAAACCTTTTAAAATAAATTATAATAACTTAAATATTAAATTCTTTAAATAAATATTATAAAGAATTTATATAAAATATTATTAAAAGTTTTAAAAAAGATTTAAATAATTATTTTATTAATACCTTATTTATTAATTTATTAAATAAATTTAAAAAAAAAGTTTTTTTAAAAGTTTTTATATTAAAAAGAAAACATTAAAGGAAATAATATTCTTTAAAATTTATATAATATAAAAACTATAATTTAAAAGGGTATATAAAAGAAAATTATTATTTTTTATATTTAAATAAAGCTTTTTAAAGTTAAAAAGTAAAGAAAATAATTTTTTTTATATATATAAGTTAAATAAAAATTAATTAAAAAAAGAAAAACTTTAAGAAAATTCATTAATTACCTTAATTAATAATAATTTAAAAGATAAAAAAAAAAAAAAAGAGAAATTTAAAATTTCTTTTAAGAAAATTACTACCACTTTAAATCTTAAAAAAGCCGCTTTTGTAAATTTAAATTTACTTAAAAATATAAATCTTATAAATCTTTAAAAAGTAAATAATCTTTCTATATTTTATATATATATAATATTAAAGATTAATATAAAAAAAGATTATATAAATATTATAATTCCCTTTTTTTAAAAAAATAAAATTTATAATAAATAATAATATAAATATTATTAATTTAATAAATATTTTATTATTTTTTTTTATTAAAAAAATAAATTAATAAGTAAAATAAAATAAAATAAATCTTAAAAATATTAAATATATAAATAAAAGTATTATATTTTTTAATACTTTTTAATTTAATATAAAATATATTTATTATATATGCTTTTTAAAACTTAATATATTAAGTTATAATATTATTTTTTGTTTTATTTATATAAAATTAAATTATATTTTAAAAAATTAAATTAATTATTAATTATTAATTATAAAAAAAGAATAATATATATATTATTTAAAATATATATAAATAATATTATTATTTAAGTTATATAAATTTAATTTTTTTAATAAAAATATTAAAAGAAAATAAAATTAATATATATTTAAATATAAAATAATTATAAGTTTTTTAATATAAAATATATTTATAAGTTAAATATATAATAAAAGTTAATAAGAAAAGCTTAAATAATATAAATTATATAATTTATTAAAATAAAATAAAATAATATAAATAATTTATTTATATTTACTTTTAATAAATATAAATATTATATATTATTTCTTAATAAAAAGTTTTAATATTTATATAAATATTTATTAAAAAATAAAAGTAAAATTATAAAATCTTTTAAAACCTTTTTTAAAAAAAAGAAAATAATATTAATAAAAATATAAAAGAATTTTTTATTAATAATAAATTAAAATTTATAAATAAAAAATTTAAAACTTTATTAAAAAAATAATATATATTATAATATTATACTTATATATATATGTAAACTTAATAAAATAAAAAAATATTAACGGTCTTTAAATTATTACGCACGGGTTTCGGTGGCATGACGAATTCCACCCTCCCCGGGCGGATAAAAACGATAATTTTTCTATGGGAAGTTGTGGTGCGGAAGGAGCGTTTCGGGGTTAAAGAGGGGTGTTTTTAAGGAGCCATTTTCTTAGCAACCAAAGTGGGGAGTTTCTCCTCCTCTGCACATTAATATAACCCATTCTTTCTTTCTTTATAAATAATAATAATAATAATAATAATAATAATAATAATAATAATAATAATAAATAATAATAATAATAATAATAATAATAATAATAATAATAATAATAATAATAATAATAATAATAATAATAATAATAATAATAATAATAATAATAATAATAATAATAATAATTACTTTATTTTATTAAATAATAATGCTAATAATTTTATCCTTTTTTTAATAAAAATATTTTATTTAATAAGCTTAAACTTATTTAAATTATTATTAATAGTTTTGCTAATTTTAAATATTTTTAATAATTTTATTTTAATAAAGAAATTAACTTTAATAATAATTCCTTTTAATAAAGGGAGTTTAATAATTAAGTTATTTTAACTTTATATTAATTATAATAAATTAATATTTCTTAAAATAATCTTTTTCTTAAATAAAATAAATAAAATTATTTATTTTATTAAGAAAAGTTTAATAATTATATCTTTTTAACTTTTTATTAAATATTATAAGATAATATTTTTTAAAATAATTTATCTTTAAACTTATAAAAAACAAATTTATATTTATAATTTTAAGCTTTTATTATTAATAAAACCTTTTTTCTTAAATATAATAATTATTTTTTAAAATAATATAACTTATAATAAAAACTGCCCTTGCTAAATTTATTAAATGCAGCAAGAAAGATATATAAATATTATTAATAATTAGCTTTAAAATCTTTTATTATATTAAATATTAACTTAAAATGTTAATATTATTATTAACTTAAAGCTTTTTATTAAATATATTTAAGTAA